CCAACCCCCCAACCCCCAACCCCCCCACCCCCACACCCCCCCCACAACAACACCCCCCCAACACCCACCCCCAAACACCCCCCCCACCCCCCCCAACCCCCCAACCCCCCACCCCCACCACAACACACCACACCACCCACCCAAAACCCCCCCACACCCCCACCCCCCCCACCCCCACCCCCCACCCCCCCCCCCCCCCACCCCACACCCCACCACCACCCCCACCCCCCCCCCCCCCCCCCACCCCACCACAACCCAACAACCCACCCAACCCCCCCAAAAACCCACCCCCCCACCAAACCACCCCCCCCCCCCCCCCCCCACCCCAAACAAACACCCCAAACCAAACACACCACACACACCCCAACACCCAAACCCCACCCCCAACAAAAACAAACCCCCCCCCCCCCCCCCACCCAACACAAAACCACACCCCACACACACACCCAAAAACCCAACCCACACAAACCCAAACCCCCACCCCCCACACCCACCCACCACACCCCCACCACAACCACCCCCCACCCACAACCCCCCCCCCAACCCCCCCACCCCCCCCACCACCACCCCCCCCCCCCCCACCAACCCCAACCCCACCCCCCAACCCCCCCACCCCCAAACACCCCCCCCCCCCCCCCCCCACACCACCAACCACCCCCCCCAAACACCACCCAAACCCCCCCCCAAACCCCCCCCACCAAACCCCCCCCCCCCAAAACAACCCCCCACCCCCACACCCCACCACACCCACCAAACCCCCCCCCCACACACCCCCACCCAACCCCCCCACAACCACCCCACCCACCCCCACAACCAAACAACCCAAAACCCCCCCCCAACCCACACAACCACCCCACCCCCACCCACCAACCCCCCCCCCCAAAAAAAAACCCCAAAAAACAACCCAACCACCAACCACACCCCCCCACACACACCCCAACCCCCCCCCACACCCCCCCCCCCACCCAACCCACACCCCCCACACACACCCCCACCCCCACACCCCCACCACCCCCCCACCCCCCACCCCAACACCCCCCAAAACACCCCCACCCCCCCACCCCCACCCCACCACCCCCCCCCACCACCCCCCCCCCCCCCCCCCACCCCCCACCCCCCCCCACCACCAAACCCACCCAACAAACCACCAACCCCACCCACCAAACCCACCACCAACCCCACACCAAACCCCACACCAACCACCCAAAACCACCACCAACCCCAACCCACCCAAACCCCACCACCAAACACCACCCACCAAACCCCACCACCAAACCCACACAACCCCACACAACACCTCCACCAAACCCAACACCAAACCCCCACACCAAACCCACCCACAACCCCACCCACCAAACCACCCCACCAAACCCCCACCAACACCCCACCACCAAACCCCACCACACAAACAACCAACCCAAACACCCACCCCCCCCACCCCACAACAACCCACACACCACCACACCCCCCCCCACCCACCCCACCCACCACACCCACCCACAACCCCCCCCCCCCCACCAAACACACACACCCACCCCACCACAAACAACCACCCCAAAAACACCCCCACAACCCCAACAACCCAACCACACACACCCAACCCCACAACCACCCACAACACAACCAACAAACAAAACCCAAAAACAACCCAAACCCACACACACCACACACACCCCCAACCCCCCCCAACCCCACAACAACCCAACCCCCAAACCCACCACCCCCCCAACCCCCAACCCACACCAACCCACCAACCCCCACAAACCCCAAACCCCACCCCAACCCCCACCCACAAACCCCCCCCCAACCCCCCAACCCCCCAACCCCCACACCCAACACCCAACCCCCCCCCCAACCCCCCAACCCCCAACCCCCAACCCCCAACCCCCCAACCCCCAACCCCCCAACCCCCCAAACCCACCCCCCTACCCCCAAACACCCCAACCCCCCCCCAAACCCCAACCCCCCCCCAAACCCCCCAACCCCCCCCCAACCCACACACCCCCAACCCCCAAACCCCATCCCACCCCCCCCCCCCACACCCCCCCCCCACACACCCCTCACACAAAACCCCCCCAACCACCCCTACCCACCAAACACAACCCCCCCCCCCCCCCCACCCCCCAACACCAACACAACACAACATACCCCTTCATCCAAACCAACAAAAAATCCAACCAACCCCAAACTCTCCCATCACCCCCCACAATACCCAATAACCAAAAACACAACCCCCAACAACCACCCAAACCACCCCCCACCCACCACAAACCAACAAACCAATATAACAAACACCTACACACACAAACAACCACCCACACCACCCCCCCCCCCAACCACACACAACCAAACAAACCCCCCCACACCCACCCACAAAACAAACCCACCCCACCACCCCCCACCCCAAAAAAACATACCAACATAACAACACAAACAAAAATACCCCAAACACACCCCCAACAACACCCCCCCCCACCCCCCCCACCCCACCACCCCCCCACCCCCCCCACCCCACCCCCCACCCCCACCCCACAAACCACACCAAAACACACCCAAACAACCCACCCCCCACCCACCCAAAACCCCACCCACCCCCCCCCACCCCCAACCCCCCCCCCACAACCATCCAAAACAACCACACCACCCACACCCCACACACCCCCCCACACCACCACACACCCACCCCCCCAACCCCCACAACCCCAACCCAAACACATACCCACAACAACAACAACACACAACACCACACCCCCCCCCAAACCCCCCCCCACCACCACCCAAACCCCAACACCCAACCCACCACACCCCAACCCCACCAAACCCAAACACACCCCACCCCCCCCCACCCCACCACAAACCCAACCACACAACACCACCCCCCCAAACCCAACCCTCCATAACCCCAACCCCCACCAAATATAACACAAACCACCCAACCACCAAACCAAAACCACCCCACCCCCAAAACACACACACAACCCACCCTCCCACACCACCCCCCCCCCCCCCAAACCCCAAAAACCCCCCCCCCCCCCCCCAACCCCCCCCCCCACCCCCCCCACCCCCCCACCCCAACACAACCCCCCCACCAATACACCCCACCCAACCCCCCCCCCAAACCACAACACCCACAATCAATTCCACCACACCAACCTAAAACCAACCCCCACACCCACACAAACCACAAACCACCACACACCCCCCCCCCACCACCCCACCACCCCAACACCAACACCACCCCCACCTCCAAACAACAACACACACCAACCACCACCCCCACAAACCAAACCAAACACCACCAAAACATTAACAAAATAAAAACCCCACCACCCACACCCCCCACCCCCCACCACACACCCCCCCCCCCCCCCCCCACCAACCCCAACCACACCAACCCCAACAACACCCCCACCCCCCACCCCCCCCAACACCCCCACCAACCCACCCCCCCCCCCCCCCCCCCCAATCACCCCCACACCCACCCCCCCCACCAAACCCCACCACACCCACACCCAACCCACCCCAACCAACCAAACCCCTTAACCCCCACAAACCCCCCACCCCCCCCCCACCAACCCACCCCCCCAACACCCCCCACACCCCCACACATACACACCACAACCAAATCCAACAAAACCAACCCCACAAATCCACCCCCCATAACCACAAACACCCACCCCCCCCCACCACAAACAAACCCAACACTCCCCCCCAACACACAACAAACCAACCAAACCCCACACCACCCCCAAACCAACCCACCCCCCCAAAAAAAAAAATATCTTACCAACCACCCCACCCCCCACCCCCCCCCACACAACAATAACCCCCCCACCACCCCCAAAACCACTAACCACTCTAAATCTTTCCCCTACATTCTAAATACACTCAAATAACCCCCCCCACCACCAACCACAACCATACATAACCACCATTAACACCACCCACCCCAAACCCCCACCCCCCCCCCCCACCAAATAAAATAATCTCTCTCACCCCCCAATCAACTCATCCCCAACCTACATATTATTCTACAACAACAACCCCACCCCCCACACCCCACAAAACCCCCCCCCCCCCCCCCAAACACCCAACCACACACCCAAACCCAAACACCCCCCCCCCAAACACCAAACAACAACCACACCACACCCCCACCCCCCTTCCTATATACCAAAAAACTCCACTAAAAAACTCCCCAAAAAAAACATCTACCCACACCCCCTTCCCCCTACTAATTCCCCAAACCCCTAAACACCTAACAAATACTAACACTCCCATCAACCCCCACAAAACAACCCCCAACAACCCAAACCCCCCCCCACCACCTAAACACAAACCCACCCCCAAAACACCACCCCAATACCCAATCCCACACAACACAAACCACCCACCCCCCCAACCACCAACCAAAATACACCCCCCCCCACAACCACCAACCCCCCACAACCCACCATACACACAACCAAAAAACCCCCAACAACCCCACTCACCACCCACAAACCCACAAACCCCACACCCAAAACCCCACCTCAACCCTCATAACACCACCCAACCCAACCCAACATACAAACTACACAAACAAACCCAACCATCTCCCCCCACCCCCCACACACCAAAAATCCACCCCAAAACCCACCCCCACAACACCCACCCAATAAACCCAACACACCTCACACCCACCCCCCCCCACCACCCCACCCCCCCCCAACACCCCCACAACCCACACCACACAAACCCCACCCACTCCCCCACCCTACACACCCCCCCCCCCCACCACCCACCCCCCCCCCAACCACCACCCCACCCCCCCACAAAATAATCAATCTATTCCCCCACCCCCCACCCCTATAATATACCATACTCAAACCACCCTCACCCCCCCAACCCACTCACCCCCCTCACCCCCAAAACAAACAAACCAACCACACCAACACCCCACATCAAAAAACAACACCCATCCAAAACCAAACAATAATATTCCCCATTCTACTCTACTCTCACCCCAACCCTAATACCCCCCCTACCCCCCACACATTCACCCCCCCCAACCCCCCACCCACCTCAACCCCCATAACAATTCCCCCCCCCACTATAAAAACACCCACACCCATCATAAACCCCTTCCCCAAAATCACAACCCAAACACAACACCAAACCCCAACCCAACACCCCACACCTAAACACTCCCACCAAACACCCACTAATACCAAAAAACACCTCCAACCCCCACCCCCCCACCAACCAACAAACCCACCCACAAACCCCCAAAAAATACCCAAAAACCCCCCACCCCCAAACCCACCACGAGAGAGACCAGAGAGAGACCAGAGAGAGACCAGAGAGAGACCAGAGAGAGACCAGAGAGAGACCAGAGAGAGACCAGAGAGAGACCAGAGAGAGACCAGAGAGACCAGAGAGAGACCAGAGAGAGACCAGAGAGAGACCAGAGAGAGACCAGAGAGAGACCAGAGAGAGACCAGAGAGAGACCAGAGAGAGACCAGAGAGAGACCAGAGAGAGACCAGAGAGAGACCAGAGAGAGACCAGAGAGAGACCAGAGAGAGACCAGAGAGAGACCAGAGAGAGACCAGAGAGACCAGAGAGAGACCAGAGAGAGACCAGAGAGAGACCAGAGAGAGACCAGAGAGAGACCAGAGAGAGACCAGAGAGAGACCAGAGAGAGACCAGAGAGACCAGAGAGAGACCAGAGAGAGACCAGAGAGAGACCAGAGAGACAGAGAGACCAGAGAGAGACCAGAGAGAGACCAGAGAGAGATCAGAGAGAGATCAGAGAGAGGCCAGAGAGAGACCAGAGAGAGACCAGAGAGAGATCAGAGAGAGATCAGAGAGAGATCAGAGAGAGACCAGAGAGAGACCAGAGAGAGACCAGAGAGAGACCAGAGAGAGACCAGAGAGAGACAAGAGAGAGACAAGAGAGAGACCAGAGAGAGACTAGAGAGAGACCAGAGAGAGGCCAGAGAGAGACCAGAGAGAGACCAGAGAGAGACCAGAGAGAGACCAGAGAGAGACCAGAGAGAGACCAGAGTGAGACCAGAGAGAGACCAGAGAGAGACCAGATAGACCAGAGAGAGACCAGAGAGAGACCAGAGAGACCAGAGAGACCAGAGAGACCAGAGAGACCAGAGAGAGACCAGAGAGAGACCAGAGAGAGACCATGTGAAAACTAGTGATAGGAGCAACAGTTTTAGAGCCAGGAACTATAGAGACATAGATTTTATTGTAGTTTTACTGTGTGTTTTAAAATACACGTAGCCGAGCTTTAATTGAATCAGAGTTATTGTTCATTTTTCCTGTGTCTCTTCAGCGTTTTTATATTTGTAACTTTTGCGCAGCTGTGTTTTAATGAGGTTTTATTTTATTTATATTATTTGTTTGTTTGTCACAGACAGAAATGTTGTGATATTTTGTATTCTTGGACCAGAGTGAAACCACAAACATAACGTAGTTTCAGGATCTCTGTTTACAGGGCCATAAAAGACTGTTTAAGATTCACTTCAGCCCCTTTTCCACCAGCCCTACTCTACTCTACTGTACTCTACTCTACTCTACTGTACTCTACTGTACTCTACTCTACTGTACTCTACTGTACTCTACTCTACTCTACTGTACTCTACTCTACTGTACTGTACTCTACTCTACTGTACTGTTCTCTACTGTACTCTACTCTACAGTACTCTACTGTACTCTACTCTACTGTACTGTACTCTACTCTACAGTACTCTACTGTACTCTATCAATCAATCAATCAATCAACGTTTATTTATAGAGCGCCTTTCCTACACAAGGCAACGCAAAGCGCCTCACAACCCATATAACATCATGCATAAATCATCAAACATTAGAATTTAAGTAAACATAAAAAGACAGATTAAGAGCACAAGATATATAAAATTACACAAGTAGTTAAAAACCGTAAAAAATTAAAATCACACAAGGGATTACAATCATAAATAATCATAAATAATCATAGCGCATTAAAAAGATTAAAGATAAAAACAAATGTAAAATCATTCACTTGTATGCACAGCTAAAAAGAACTGTTTTCAGTTCAGTTTTAAAAACTGCTAGAGTAGACGCCTGTCTCACACTCTCGGGAAGACGGTTCCAGACTCTAGCTGCATGAATCTGAAACGCAGCCTCCCCATGTCTAGTTCCGACTCTTGGCACTAACAGAAGTCCAGTCCCTGTGCTCCTCAGAGCCCGAGTTGGTTCTCTACTGTACTGCACTGTACTGTACTCTACTCTACTCTACTCTACAGTACTCTACTGTACTCTACTCTACTGTACTGTTCTCTACTGTACTCTACTGTTCTCTACTCTACTCTACTCTACTCTACAGTACTCTACTCTACTCTACTGTACTCTACAGTACTCTACTGTACTCTACTCTACTGTACTGTTCTCTTCTGTACTGTTCTCTACTGTACTGTTCTCTACTGTACTGTACTCTACTGTTCTCTACTGTACTGTACTCTACCGTACTGTTCTCTACTGTACTGTACTCTACTGTTCTCTACTGTACTGTACTCTACTGTACTCTACTGTTCTCTACTCGACTGTTCTCTAATCTACTCTACTGTACTCTACTCTATTGTACTGTACTCTACTCTATTGCACTACTGTTCTCTACTCTGCTCTACTATACTCTACTGTGCTATACTCTACCGTACTACACTGTACTCTACTGTACTCTACTGTACTGTACTCTATTCTACTGTACTCTACTCTATTCAACTGTACTTTACTCTACTGTACTGTACTCTACTCTATTCTACTGTACTCTACCCTACTCTAGTGTTTTCACATACCCTGTTTACCTGGTACCAGGTACTACAGTATATGCTTGGTTACTAGTTACAGAACAGTAGGAATGAGGACAGCACAAGATTAATGAACAATAACTCTGAATTAAAATAAAATAAAATCTCTAACTTTAGCAAAATAGAAAAGCAACAATAACATCTCTAATAAAAGTGTAGAATAATATTATGGAAACATAGATATGTCTCGATAAACATGAATATTTCTGGTCTAAAAACCTGCATCACATTATGTAGTTTTTCCAGTTGTTTATTATTTCAGCTGCAGTTTTGGAAGCGGCCTCTCACAGTTCTAATTGTAGTTTATTGCATTAACACTGAGGGGGGCCCACAGTCCTGTCTTGGCCCCGGGGCCTGGGCCTGCCTGGCGGTGGCCCTGGGCATGAGGTCACATCTGGATCAAACACCTGCCTCGTCTTCACTCAGAGCCACTGGATTTTACACTGAGAGAAAACTGAAAAATATGCTTTTCATTTGTGGAACGGTTCAATAATTCAAAAGAACAGTTTCCATTTTGCGGGAGAGAGATCGTAAATCCCCCGGAGTCATGTGACGCACCGCAAATGGAGATAAGATTTACACACGCTTAAAAGAGTTTGGATCTGGATTCATCAGAAAGAAAAGATTAACAGACTATTTCTACAGGAGACAAGCACTTTGCTCCGTTATGCTCAGTCGGCAACATCTGAGAATCTCACAGTTTGAACACAGGAAATGCAAAAATAAACACAGAGAAGCCAGAGTTCATTGGAGACGGACGACCACTCTCCAGAAATGTTTGTACATGTCCTGGATCTTCACTGTTCTTAGACTCTCCTGCATCGGAAAAAACACATTTGGAAAAAAAATAAGTTTCAGGGAGGCCCATGTTGAGAGATGGCTCTCCTCCCTTGGACGGACTGAGGCTGTAGATCCAGGACTGAGGCTGTAGATCCAGGACTGAGGCTGTAGATCCAGGACTGAGGCTGTATATTCAGGACTGAGGTTGTAGGTCCAGGACTGAGGTTATAGATCCAGGACTGAGGCTGTACTGTAGGTCCAGGACTGAGGTTGTAGATCCAGGACTGAGGCTGTAGGTCCAGGACTGAGGCTGTAGATCCAAGACTGAGGCTGTAGATCCAGGACTGAGGCTGTATGTCCAGGACTGAGGCTGTAGGTCCAGCACTGAGGTTATAGATCCAGGACTGAGGCTGTAGGTCCAGCACTGAGGTTATAGATCCAGGACTGAGGCTGTAGATCCACGACTGAGGCTGTAGATCCACGACTGAGGCTGGTGGTCCAGGACTTAGGCTGTAGATCCAGGACTGAGGCTGTAGACCCAGCACTGAGGCTGTAGATCCAGGACTGAGGTTGTAGATCCAGGACTGAGGCTGTAGACCCAGGACTGAGGCTGTTAGTCCAGGACTGAGGCTGTAGGTCCAGGACTGAGGCTGTAGACCCAGGACTGAGGCTGTAGACCGAGGACTTAAAGCGGGCATGTGTTTATTGTGTCCTATGATAACAGTCTACTTTACTTAAAGCTGGGCTACGTAACTTTCAGATGGAGTCCCAGCACTAATCTCTACATTTTCTCTTTTGTGAGATGAACACAGTCTATCTTCTCTGACCACCCCTCTCGCTCTCAGCCAATCAGCTCTCAGCCTCAGGAGTCTTTCTCAACAATAAAATGTTTCTATTCATCTGAAAACAGCATGTTGTGGTCTGATTTGTGCTCAACATTGAACACCTACCGCGTGTGTCAGTGTGCCCCAGGGCAGCTGTGGCTACAGTAGTCGTTTATCATCACTGTGTGAAAGAATAGTAACATGTGAAGTGTCTTTTATTCAGCGCCTTTATTCTTCCACTCCTTACATACTGTATGTACAGTACATACATATTTATTATTATTATAAGTCTCTTTCTGTCGAACAAACTTCACGTGTTATTTATGAAGCTAAAGTTACGTACCCCAGCTTTAAACCAACAGTTTCTTTGTGATGTTTGAGTTTGAACGCAGACCCCAGAGCTTTGGTCCATTGTTCCCATGGTGTGGACTTTGGTGCGGTTCTTCCTGGTTCCTGTTCAGACACAAAACAGTTTATATTTAACCTTTTATGAGCCGCAGGGAGTGTTTGTATAGAAACAGTTTATTTAAAGCTGGGATGCGTAACTTTAGCCTCATAAATAACACATGTAGCTTGTGCAACAGAAACAGTCAAAGTAAAAGCTGTGGACCAATCACCTCATGTTGAAAACCAGTAAGACCAAGGAGATGGTACCTGTGCTAACACCAGTAAGACCAAGGAGATGGTACCTGTGCTAACACCAGTAAGACCAAGGAGATGGTACCTGTGCTAACACCAGTAAGACCAAGGAGATGGTACCTGTGCTAACACCAGTAAGACCAAGGAGATGGTACCTGTGCTAACACCAGTAAGACCAAGGAGATGGTACCTGTGCTAACACCAGTAAGACCAAGGAGATGGTACCTGTACTAACACCAGTAAGACCTAGGAGATGTTAGAAAACCACTTTCCCACACGCCGCTGAACATAGGGGGAGGACACTGAGCTGGGGACAGTACCTGTGTGTTCACATTAACAATAAACTGGACTGGTCCCATAATACCAACGCTCTGTACAAGAAGGGCCAAAGTCGCCTCTTCCTTCTGAGGAGGCTGTGGTCCTTCTGAGGAGGCTGTGGTCCTTCTGAGGAGGCTGAGGTCCTTCTGAGGAGGCTGAGGTCCTTCTGAGGAGGCTGAGGTCCTTCTGAGGAGGCTGAGGTCCTTCTGAGGAGACTGAGGTCCTTCTGAGGAGGCTGAGGTCCTTCTGAGGAGGCTGAGGTCCTTCGGAGTGAGCCTCTGCTCAGGACTTTTTATGACTCTGTGGTAGCCTCTGCCATGCTGCCCCGGGCAGCACAGAGCGGGACAGAAGCAGACTGAACAAGCTGGTCAGGAGGGCAGCTCAAAGTGCTGAACAAAATAAGATAGCATTAAAATCATAAATAATCACAGAACATTAAAAAGAAAGATAAAAATATAAACTCCAAATGTGCCAAATGTGACATGTACATGACTCCAGTGTGAGATCAATAAAGTTTATTTTATCTTATCTTATCATTTGTGTGTAAAAAACAGCCCTGTGAGTCACTTTTTGGCTATTTGGTCTGAGTGCAAAGGAAAACCGATTTTATCATATACTGTTGTTGATTTTTTGTGAATTGAAAATGAGGCAGAAGCAAATTTTCAATCTGCAAAAACATTGGCGTCTAAAGATGGAACACGATAACAAGATAATATTTGGATTGTCAATATTAGAAAAAATGCAATCTTTTGTGTAAGAAAGATCCCTGTGAGTCACTACTGGACTCTTTGGGCTGAAAGCTGATTGGCCGAATGAGGCGGGTCTCTCTTTTTCACTTCTCTGTCTGACAAAACTGATCCAAAGATGTGACGAGTAAATTTTCTCAGTTAGACTCGTGTTATAGTGTATGTATTCATATCAAGCTAAAGTTACAGACCCCAGCTTTAAACTCGGCTGCTGGTGTGACTCAGTCGGCAACTATGTGAGAAATGTGAGTTTGGACCAAAAGCAAATGATCAAATAAATATTCATATTTAAGTCTTCATTTTCTCTCTGAAATGTTTGTTTTGTTGTTGTAAATGTGAGGCTTTCATAAAAAAAACGGGTTCATATTTTATTTGGTAAAAAAGTCAGTAAATGACACCGTGAGATCAGCAAAAAAGTCTGCGCCAACAGAAGCCGCCTCAAAGTGTTGTTCTGGTGGAAGACGCTGAGGCTATAGTACCATGTGGACATAGTACCATGTGGACAATAGTACCATGTGGACAATAGTGCTATGTGGACAATAGTACCATGTGGACAATAGTACCATGTGGACAATAGTACTATGTGGACAATAGTGCTATGTGGACAATAGTACCATGTGGACAATAGTACCATGTGGACAATAGTACCATGTGGACAATAGTACCATGTGGACAATAGTGCTATGTGGACAATAGTACCATGTGGACAATAGTACCATGGTACTATTATCCACATGGACTAATAGTCTACATGGTACAATAGTACCATGTGGACAATAGTACCATGTGGACAATAGTACTTTGTGGACAATAGTACTATGTGGACAATAGTACTATGTGGACAATAGTACCATGTGGACAATAGTACTTTGTGGACAATAGTACCATGTGGACAATAGTGCTATGTGGACAATAGTACTATGTGGACAATTAGTACCATGTGGACAATAGTACCATGGACAATAGTACATTAGTACATGGTGGACAATAGTACTATGTGGACAATAGTACCATGTGGACAATAGTACCATGTGGACAATAGTACATGTGGACAATAGTACTATGTGGACAATAGTACCATGTGGACAATAGTACCATGTGGACAATAGTACCATGTGGACAATAGTACCATGTGGACAATAGTGGACAATAGTACCATTGGACAATAGTACCATGTGGACAATAGTACCATGTGGACAATAGTACTATGTGGACAATAGTACCATGTAGACAATAGTACCATGTGGACAATAGTACCATGTGGACAATAGTACTTTGTGGACAATAGTACCATGTGGACAATAGTACTATGTGGACAATAGTACCATGTGGACAATAGTATTATGTGACAATAGTACCATGTGGACAATAGTACCATGTGGACAATAGTACTATTGACAATGCTGTGGACAATAGTACCATGTGGACAATAGTACCATGTGGACAATAGTACCATGTGGACAATAGTACCATGTGGACAATAGTACTATGTGGACAATAGTGCTATGTGGACAATAGTGCCATGTGGACAATAGTACCATGTGGACAATAGTACCATGTGGACAATAGTACTTTGTGGACAATAGTACCATGTGGACAATAGTACCATGTGGACAATAGCACTATGTGGACAATAGTACCATGTGGACAATGGTACCATGTGGGAAAATAGCACTATGTGGACAATAGTACAGTTTACAGATGGACAGACTCATTATTTAGAGTTTGTTAAAGATGTGGAACATAACATTTAAGTTTATGTTCAAACCAACCTCACGCTAGCATCATAAGCTACATTTAGTTTGTATTTATATAATTGGTGAAAGTAACTTCAAAGTAATGAAGTAGTAATCCAGAGAGAGTAGTATTGTAGTAACACAGTACTTTGAAATAACAGAAACAAGAAACACTTCAAACTTGCCAAAGCTTTAATCCTTGTAAATATTTCCTGTGTGAGATTAATAAAGTACATCTTATCTTACGTTGAATGCAGCTGTAGTTCCGTCCTACTCCTGCAGGGGGCGACTCTCCTCTGTCTCTGCTTCAGTTCAGCCCCAACACAGAGAGAAGTAGACCGCGGCCGATGAGCTGTCTACCTGGTTTGTTTTGGTTCCTGGTGTCTGGTCTCTGGTTTTTGGTTCTGGTGTTTTCTTCTGGTGCAGATCGAAGCCTCAGTCATGGCCAACAAGAGGAAGGTGATCGTCACAGGTAAAAGACACGATGTTTATTATTTTAGATCCAAAGTAAATCTGCAAATGTGATTAATGAGGAGCCTGTGCTGATGAGTCACGGAGCCTGTGGGGGGTCTAACCATGGTCTAACCTGGATCATTCTCACTGGTCCAGACTTTAATGACTGATTTAAAGTCTCCCATCTCTGTAAGATAATACATACTTGCAGCTATTTGTTTTTCAATATTAAAATGTTTAGTTTTTAATTTGACACAATGTGAGCTGAATAAATTATCTTTATGCCAAAGTATGGGATCTTTCAGCTGTTTAGTTCTATATCTGTAATGTAATTTTGGGCTTTGATAAGATCTTGGGGTAAAATAATAATGCTGTAAACCACTGCCTGAAGCTGCCATAAGTTACTGTTGTAACTGCAGTTCTCTGAGTTAGAAACTAGCTGCAAAAAGTGATGACAAATATTGTAAGAATTGCTCAAATCTGGCGATCATTTATGTTAATCTGAACATTTTGACTGATTTTGACTGACAAGATTTCAAAATATACAATACATGTCTCCCAACAGATCTGGAAGACTTCTCTTTGACACAATCAGAATTAACTCAAATGAAGATAAAAAAAACCCACTAGATTCAAGTATTTATTGCCGCCTATTTTATAATTTTTATGCAGTTTGTCTCAAAAACCTGCAGTTCTCGTGCTTCTCAGCCGTCAGCCTCACGTTATCTCTCTCCAGGATTCTCTCAGTTTTTGTGTTAATGTTTAACAGAGAAGTTTCAGAACCTTTAGACTCATAATAAACACGTACTGTATGTATATCTGTGGTGAGTCTCATTTAACCCAAATTAGGAGATTTATGTGACGTCTGCTAACATGAGGGACATGAATGAATCACATACTGTTTGTATCGTGATATGATGAAAATCGCAATATTATTAAATTGTGGCACAAATTGTGTTGCAGGTTTTGAACCGTTTGGAGAACACAAGGTCAACTCCAGCTGGGCGGCAGTTCAGGTACACGTCCTTCAGGAGTCTCTGCGATCACACTTAACAATCACATTTAAATAGCTATTTTACAACCAGGTGTTGAGCATAAAGACTTTTGAACGTCCCAAGACTTGGTCCAGATCAGTGGGGGCGGGTCCCCTCTCAAAAACATACTTGCAATACCACCCCTAGCCAGTGGGGGTGGACCCAGAAAGAGAATAACCAATGCTTTCGTATGGCGTCTTCTTTCCAGTATACATTGTTTGGACCAGCCTAGTTTAGCCGCTGTGAAGGCACTCAGAAGGAAAACGTGAAAAAATGAAATGTGGTTTTTCACATTTTCCTGAGGGAGGGGCTACCCTCGGCCATTTTGAAAAAGTCCCATAGAAGCCAAAAGTGATGCACATTAGCTTTGACGGCGGAGAGAGAAGTGACTACGTCCGTTAATATTTACAGTCTATGATTCAGATCTCTGAAACCTGCCATGTTTGCTCCAAAACACAAGCAGTAAAAATCAGATAAAATTGTTGTTTTGTTCTGCACAAAATGGTCAACAATAACGTGTGTTTTTTGTTGTGTGTGTGTGTCTCTGTTTGTTGTGTGTGTATTTCTCTCTCTATGTGTTTGTGTGTGTCTCTCTCTCTGTGTATGTGTGTGTGTGTGTGTCTCTCTCTCTGTGTATGTATCTGTGTGTGTGTGTCTCTCTCTCTGTGTATGTGTATGTGTATGTGTGTGTGTGTGTGTATGTGTGTGTGTGTGTCTCTCTCTGTGTATGTATGTGTTTGTGTGTCTCTCTCTCTGTGTATGTGTATGTGTATGTGTGGGTGTGTCTCTCTCTCTGTGTATGTATGTGTGTGTGTGTGTCTCTGTGTGTGTGTGTCTCTCTCTCTGTGTATGTGTATGTGTGTGTGTGTGTGTATGTGTGGGTGTGTCTCTCTCTCTGTGTGTCTCTCTCTCTCTGTGTGTGTCTCTCTCTGTGTATGTATGTGTGTGTGTGTGTCTGTGTGTGTGTGTCTCTCTCTCTGTGTGTGTCTCTCTCTGTGTGTGTCTCTCTCTGTGTATGTATGTGTGTGTGTGTGTCTGTGTGTGTGTCTCTCTCTCTGTGTGTGTCTCTCTGTGTGTCTCTCTGTGTCTCTCTCTCTGTGTATGTGTATGTGAATGTGTGTGTGTGTGTCTCTCTCTCTGTGTGTCTCTGTGTGTGTGTGTCTCTCTCTCTGTGTGTGTCTCTCTGTGTGTCTCTCTCTCTGTGTGTCTCTCTCTGTGTGTCTCTCTGTGTGTCTCTCTCTGTGTGTGTCTCTGTGTGTGTCTCTCTGTGTGTGTCTCTCTCTGTGTATGTATGTGTGTGTGTGTGTCTCTCTCTCTGTGTGTCTCTCTGTGTGTCTCTCTGTGTGTCTCTCTCTGTGTGTGTCTCTGTGTGTGTCTCTCTGTGTGTGTCTCTCTCTGTGTATGTATGTGTGTGTGTGTGTCTGTGTGTGTGTCTCTCTCTCTGTGTGTGTCTCTCTGTGTGTCTCTCTGTGTCTCTCTCTCTGTGTATGTGTATGTGAATGTGTGTGTGTGTGTCTCTCTCTCTGTGTGTCTCTGTGTGTGTGTGTCTCTCTCTCTGTGTGTCTCTCTCTCTGTGTGTGTCTCTCTGTGTGTCTCTCTCTCTGTGTGTCTCTCTCTGTGTGTCTCTCTGTGTGTCTCTCTGTGTGTCTCTCTCTGTGTGTGTCTCTGTGTGTGTCTCTCTGTGTGTGTCTCTCTCTGTGTATGTATGTGTGTGTGTGTGTCTCTCTCTCTGTGTGTCTCTCTGTGTGTCTCTCTCTGTGTGTGTCTCTGTGTGTGTCTCTCTGTGTGTGTCTCTCTCTGTGTATGTATGTGTGTGTGTGTCTCTCTCTCTGTGTGTGTCTCTGTGTGTGTCTCTCTGTGTGTGTCCCTGTAGGAGCTGGAGCGCCTGGGTCTCGGGGACCACATAGAGCTGGTTGTGTGTGAAGTCCCGGTGGAGTACCAGGCCGTGCAGACGCTGCTGCCGGCGCTGTGGGAGGAGCATCAGCCGCAGGTGACCAATCGCCTTCATTCTGAGGACTTTACAAAGCTGTCGATTCACCAACAACAGATCAGAGAATCAAACAGTAACAAACACAGAGATATTGGGCCATAAATGTGGTTGAATGTGGAGTGTAACATAGAGGCCCAACAATGTGACATCACCCAAATTCCATCATAGCAACCTCATAGCAACCAAAGAGCCAATCGGAAGCAAAGCTGTTCCGTGTCTCCGTCCCCAAATCACAACACAATAAAATACAAAACACAGACTGGTTGCCTCTCTTCTGTCAGTGTGCCCCAGGGCAGCTGTGGCTACAGTAGTAGTTTATCACCATTGTGTATGGAGTGAACGAGTGATGATGTGAAGAGACTCCAGAAAAGTGCTGTATAAAACTAAAGAGATAGACTACACATATAATAAGACATATAATAAGATGCTTCAATCAAAGTGAATAGGAGCAAAACTTCACCCATGAGCACTTTCTTGTTATTGTTCAGCCCTGTCTATCTCTGTATACAGTCTATACACGGCAACATCTGATGACATTTGAGGTAATAATGGCTTGAATCTGTATTTTTTTATCTTAATCTGACACATTCTGATTTTTTCCAGTGGGACATTACCATTTTTTATTTTCTCATTCCAAGGGAGACATTGCCTGTATCTATTAAAAACAAGATAATTTTGCTTTGTCCCATCGGCAAATCTGGTTCTAAGGCTCAGTCAGAATGTGCTCAGATTAAGACACATTTTGCCACATTTTAGCCATTTTTGACTTATTTTTTCTCACTTTTCGCAGTTTGGTCCGACTGCTTTGTGAGCTCTGTCTTTCTGAATGACATAAACTCCTCCTGTCTGGGCGTCGTGTGTGTGCAGCTGGTGGTCCACGTGGGGGTCTCTGGACTCGCTAAAGCCGTGACTCTGGAGCAGTGTGGTCATAACAAAGGCTACAGGCGGCTGGACAACTGCTTCTTCTCCCCAGAGTCCGAGTGCTGCATCGAGGACGGCCCAGAATGCATCAGCTCCGTCCTGGACATGGGCTCGGTCTGCTCCCGGCTCAGAAAGGAAGGTGTCTGCAGCAAAGTCACCGTGTCCAAGGACGCCGGGAGGTGAGGGTGAGGGTGAGGGTGAGGGTGAGGGTGAGGGTGAGGGGATCCATGGAGACAGAGGTGTGTTTTGTGGCGTTTAATTAAAGTAAAAAGTATTGAAGAAACATTGGAGAAAACATTTTCAGAGCGGCTCAGTGGCTTCATAACAAGAAGGTCTTGGGTCCTGGGTTCGAATCCCGGTCAAAACCGGGCTTTTCTGTGTGTGGAGTTTGCATGTTCTCCCCGTGTCTGCGTAGGTTTCCTCCAGATGCTCCGGTTTCCCCTGCCACAATAGATCTGCCATTTGCGTTAAGAATCGCAATAATATTCACTGCAAAAAATGATAAAATATGAGGTAATCTTAATCTGACACATTCAGATTCTCCAACGGGACAAAGACATTTAGTCTAATTTCAAGAACTGTGGCTTTTTTTTCTCATTCAGAGACATTTCTTGTATCTTTTTAAAACAAGATAATTTTGCCTTTTTCAAGTTAGTCAAAATGTGCTCATATTAAGATACAATTTGCCAAAACAATTGAGGAATATTTTGCTTATATTTAATCGTTTCATAATTTGTAGTAATTTTTTTGCCAATTCCCCAAGTTTAATCCCAAGTGTTTCCTGTTATTTCCCACACTTCTCTGCTGTTCTCTGCAGATATCTGTGCGACTACACCTACTACACGTCTCTGTTTGTGGGGAACGGACGCGCCGCCTTCGTCCATGTTCCTCCGCTTGGGAAACCTTTCAGCAGCGAGGAGCTGGGCCGCGCTCTGCAGGCCGTCGTCACCGAGATGCTGCTGCAGCTGGAGGGAGGCGCCACTGAGGCTCTCTGCAACCACAGGGGGCGCCACTGAGGCTCTCTGCAACCACAGGGGGCGCCACTGAGTCTCTCTGCAACCACAGGGGGCGCCACTGAGCTATTATAGGCCTTTTTCACAAACTAATCAAAACTCTCAAAATCAGTGTGTGAGCGAAAACTGGCGTATGAGGATCTGCAGAACTTTCTGGACTATAAGACGCACCTGTATGTGAGGGCTGCACGATTAGAACGATATTCTTGATGAGTGTTTAGTATTTCGATGACGATATTATTGCGATATTTTTGTCTTTCACCTAAAATTACAACTGCATTAAAACACAAGAGACAAATAACAAAAAATAAGCACAATATTAATGACATCCAATAGCATAAATGTATAAACTTGTTTTGTTTCTTCTTGTTGAATGCTGATGTGTCTGTTTTGTTTTCTTTATTAATAAAGAAAAGAAATGTATTTAAAAATTATCGCGCATCTTAACGATATCGAAATCGCACGTACCAATATTGCGATAACGATATTTTTTCGATATATCGTGCAGCCCTACTGTATATAAGCCGCACCATCTACATTTGAACAGAAAATCAGTTTTGTCCATATATAGGCCGCACTTGGATATTAGCCGCAGGTTTTTATGTTGTAATGTAGCAGAGACGAGGTGTTAGCTTCACTGTTAGCTTCCATCACTCATTCATCTGTTTTAACATTAAATCAGTGTCCTGTAGCTACTAAAACTTAAGATAATAAATCCATAAACTGCTCTGGCAACCGCTCAACTCTACCACAAGGTAAACACACATATTAGCCGCATCGCTATATAAGCCTCAGGAGTCAAAGAACTAGAAAAAAGTAGTGGCTTATAGTCTGTACATTACGGTAAATTCAGAGCTCTCTTTCACCTTTCGACTGTTGTATTTCCCAAATAGTATTTTGTATTCAGAAGGATCGGCAGGTTTGTGGTGAAGATTTATCTCCAAAAACAAAATGAAGGCTTGCAGTTCCCCCATAAAACCTTGTGGGGCGCTAGAGAACTAAACTAAAACATGTAAAATCTATTTTTGGAGACATTTAGTGTAATATAATCAAATATTATTTTGGTACAGATTTTTTTAATTTTTGGACACTTCTGCGAGCTTATATGCTTTGCGTGACCTTGGTCGGTGAAAAGCGCTTTCATATGAAGATTAATCACTTACCTATTTCGAACTGCACTTCAGCCTGGAAACTCAGGCCAAAATTCTCGCATAGATTTGGGGACCAATCACAGGACAAGGATGACTAATGGTTTATGTTGGTCTCCGCACACTTTTTATTAGATATTTTTAAAGCAAAATAAATAATGTATAAAAGAGGCCAACATTCAGACTGTAATGATACATCTCTATGTCTCGAGATCAAATACTATTAACAACAATTAGAATTATGTTTTAAAATAATCCCCATTTGCTAGATTGATTTGCATGTCTTTGAAATTGCACTAAAAACTATTTATTGTCGCTGCGAATTTACAATCTTTGTCTCATTCAACACAGAAGAAAATACATGAGGATTTCTGTATTCACTTTGTAGATTTTAACGTTGTATTTACCTGTAATTATTGTTAAAATGTCTGAATCTCCACTGTAACGATGTGTGTATCTCAGGGAAAACTTTGCCAAATGATCTGTTTGATTACTGCACTACTGTATGTTTCCTGTTTTTCTGTCAATTAATAAAATGTACTAGTGTTGAACTGTCTCTGAAGTTTGAAATGGACAAAACATTTACATTATTTGTCACAACACACGACTGTGTATCTCAAATCAGTTCAACTTATGTTTGTATAGCCCTACATCACAACAGCAGAGTCGTCTTGGAGGACTTTAAAATATCAAATAATTATAAATAAAAAATATGTATAAGTGTGAGTGTTTGTGTGTAAATTATATGCATATATGGCAGGATAATTATAGAAAATAAGTAAAGGAATAATAAGGAAGGAGGTATTTTTATGAATTCAAATGCAGCCTCTTGCGCGCCCTTGATCTGTCCGTCCTTTAATTTTTTTTTCTGAATTATCTATGTTGAAATATTTGTTTTATTATCACCTTTAGCAACCACGTGACCACATAAATGGAACACGAAAAATATACATAAACTTATAAATTCAAACCAAACATTAAAACACGGAAAGGCTGGGCTTCGCTTTCGCACATGCGCAGTCTGACCTGTCACTATCCCTCTCTGAACCAGTGTCTGTCCTTATTTGTCTGAATTATCTGTTGAAATATTTGTTTTATTATCACCTTTAGTAACCACGTGACCACATGAATGGAACACGAAAAATATACATTAACGTATAAATTCAAAACAAACATTAAAACACGGAAAGGCTGGGCTTCGCTTTCGCACATGCGCAGTCTGACCTGTCACTATCCCTCTCTGAACCAGTCTCTGTCCTTATTTGTCTGAATTATCTGTTGAAATATTTGTTTTATTATCGCCTTTAGTAACCACGTGACCACATGAATGGAACACGAAAAATATACATTAACGTATAAATTCAAAACAAACATTAAAACACGGAAAGGCTGGGCTTCGCTTTCGCACATGCGCAGTCTGACCTGTCACTATCCTTCTCTGAACCAGTGTCTGTCCTTATTTGTCTGAATTATCTGTTGAAATATTTGTTTTATTATCGCCTTTAGTAACCACGTGACCACATGAATGGAACACGAAAAATATACATTAACGTATAAATTCAAAACAAACATTAAAAAACGGAAAGGCTGGGCTTCGCTTTCGCACATGCGCAGTCTGACCTGTCACTATCCCTCTCTGAACCAGTGTCTGTCCTTATTTGTCTGAATTATCTGTTGAAATATTTGTTTTATTATCGCCTTTAGTAACCACGTGACCACATGAATGGAACACGAAAAATATACATTAACGTATAAATTCAAAACAAACATTAAAAAACGGAAAGGCTGGGCTTCGCTTTCGCACATGCGCAGTCTGACCTGTCACTATCCCTCTCTGAACCAGTGTCTGTCCTTATTTGTCTGAATTATCTGTTGAAATATTTGTTTTATTATCACTTTTAGCAACCACGTGACCACATAAATGGAACACGAAAAATATACATAAACTTATAAATTCAAACCAAACATTAAAACACGGAAAGGCTGGGCTTCGCTTTCGCACATGCGCAGTCTGACCTGTCACTATCCTTCTCTGAACCAGTGTCCTTCCATCATCCACAACACACCGCTTTCCTTTAGCTTCTCTGGTGCTATCTTCCCCGCGGAGGACACCTAACCCCGGGCGGGCTCTGCACACACTTCCACCCGGATCGGAACCATGAGCGTGGAGGCGTATGGACCCAGCTCGCAGACGCTAACCTTCCTGGACACGGAGGAGACAGAGCTGCTCGGAGCGGACACCCAGGGGTCCGAGTTCGACTTCACGGATTTCACGCTCCCGAGCCAGACCCAGACCCAGCCAGGCCAGACGCAAAGCCAGCTCGACTGCCAGGTATGTGTCGCCATTCCGGGGGCCCAGCTGGGTGTCAGATTCCCCCCTGTCAGGGCTGGACAAAGGGCAAAGATGTAAATCAACCAGGCAGCTAACACGAAGCTAGCTGCCCGCGGAGTTAGCTAGCACTGTCACCCGCAAATTGGCTAACAAGCTAGCTGTCAACATGCTACTGGTCTCTCTCTGGTTTCTCTCTGGTCTCTCTCTCTGGTCTTTCTGGTCTCTCTTTGGTCTCTCTCTGGTCTCTCTTTGGTCTCTCTTTGGTCTCTCTTTGGTCTCTCTCTGGTCTCTCTCTGGTCTCTCTCTCTGGTCTTTCTGGTCTCTCTTTGGTCTCTCTTTGGTCTCTCTCTGGTCTCTGTCTCTCTGGTCTCTCTCTCTGGTCTCTCTCTCTGGTCTTTCTGGTCTCTCTTTGGTCTCTCTTTGGTCTCTCTCTGGTCTCTCTCTCTGGTCACTCTCTCTGGTCTCACTCTGGTCTCTCTCTGGTCTCTCTCTGGTCTCTCTCTCTGGTCTCTCTCTCTGGTCTCTCTCTGGTCTCTCCCTGGTCTCTCTCTGGTCTCTCTCTCTGGTCTCTCTCTGGTCTCTCTCTGGTCTCTCTCTCTGCAGCTTATTATAAAGGTTTATTTGATGCACCTGTTGTGTTCCTCTTGTTGCCACTTGGAAGATTCGAACTTGAGCGTTGTCATGGAAACAAGCAGAGAACATGGACTGTCAAATTATCCCTCATTAAAGGTTTATAGAAGGATTATCCCACATTTTAGGAAATTACCACCTTCTACACTTTATGAACAAAACTCACCGGGCTCATTGGACGAGCACGTATCACCAGAATGATTGACAGTTGGGAGGACCAATAGTCTTGATGAACCACCTGGAAGTAGAACATCCTCCTATGAACCTATTGAATGAGAGAGGACTTATTGATAGTGAAAAAACTGATCTACAGATGATAATAATAATAAAATAGGTTCCTCTTTTGTTTTTAATACTACTATACAATGTATAAACGTATAGTATAGAGTATAGAGATGCTTTATTGGGGAAATGTCAGTGTTGCATCACCAGTTACAGAGCAGTAGGAACAAGGAGCACACCGCACAAGATAAATGAACAATAACTCTATACTAGAATAAAACAGAATCTCTAGCTTTAGCATAATAAGGAAGCAAGTCTAAGATCTCCAACTTTAGCATAAGACCTAAACGCCCAATTTAGGAATGTGACAGGCCTGTGTTAGATCTTCTAGTGATAAGGTTAATAAATACGCAAAATACAAAATACAAGGTGGTAATGTTTGAAATATCTAGTTTACAATTCCATTCTTTAAAAACAACCCGGTTCCAGTCTGGATCCGAGGTGGACAGACGGCAGAAGTGGTGATGTGTTGTGTATAGTGTGTATAATGTGTGTCTGTCACAGGTTAATGGTTCTGATGTGTTGTGTATAGTGTGTATAACGTGTGTCTGTCACAGGTTAATGGTTCTGATGTGTTGTGTATAGTGTGTATAATGTGTGTCTGTCACAGGTTAATGGTTCTGATGTGTTGTGTATAGTGTGTATAATGTGTGTCTGTCACAGGTTAATGGTTCTGATGTGTTGTGTATAGTGTGTATAATGTGTGTCTGTCACAGGTTAATGGTTCTGATGTGTTGTGTATAGTGTGTGTATAATGTGTGTCTGTCACAGGTTAATGGTTCTGACGGGATCCTGGTGAACGGAGAGGACCCGGTGGTGAAGGCCACTCAGCTGCTGGCAGAGCTCAACTTTGAGGAAGACGAAGAGGATGCGTTTTACAGCAAAGACCTGCCTGTGCATGCGTGCAGGTGAGGACACACAGAGAGAGAGAGACACACACAGAGAGAGAGACAGCCACACAGAGAGAGAGACAGCCACACACAGAGTGAGACAGCCACACACAGAGTGAGACAGCCACACACAGAGTGAGACAGCCACACACAGAGAGAGAGACAGCCACACACAGAGTGAGACAGCCACACACAGAGTGAGACAGCCACACACAGAGTGAGACAGCCACACAGAGAGAGAGACAGCCACACAGAGAGAGAGACAGCCACACAGAGAGAGAGACAGCCACACAGAGAGAGAGACAGCCACACAGAGAGAGAGACAGCCACACAGAGAGAGAGACAGCCACACAGAGAGAGAGACAGCCACACAGAGAGAGAGACAGCCACACAGAGAGAGAGACAGCCACACAGAGAGAGAGACAGCCACACAGAGAGAGAGACAGCCACACAGAGAGAGAGACAGCCACACAGAGAGAGAGACAGCCACACACAGAGAGAGAGACAGCCACACAGAGAGAGAGACAGCCACACAGAGAGAGAGACAGCCCACAGAGAAGAGACAGCCACACAGAGAGAGAGACAGCCACACAGAGAGAGAGACAGCCACACAGAGAGAGAGACAGCCACACAGAGAGAGAGACAGCCACACAGAGAGAGAGACAGCCACACAGAGAGAGAGACAGCCACACAGAGAGAGAGACAGCCACACAGAGAGAGAGACAGCCACACAGAGAGAGAGACAGCCACACAGAGAGAGAGACAGCCACACAGAGAGAGAGACAGCCACACACAGAGAGAGACAGCCACACACAGAGAGAGACAGCCACACACAGAGAGAGACAGCCACACACAGAGAGAGACAGCCACACACAGAGAGAGACAGCCACACACAGAGAGAGACAGCCACACACAGAGAGAGACAGCCACACACAGAGAGAGACAGCCACACACAGAGAGAGACAGCCACACACAGAGAGAGACAGCCACACACAGAGAGAGACAGCCACACACAGAGAGAGACAGCCACACACAGAGAGAGACAGCCACACACAGAGAGAGACAGCCACACACAGAGAGAGACAGCCACACACAGAGAGAGACAGCCACACACAGAGAGAGACAGCCACACACAGAGAGAGACAGCCACACACAGAGAGAGACAGCCACACACAGAGAGACAGCCACACACAGAGAGAGACAGCCACACACAGAGAGAGACAGCCACACACAGAGAGAGACAGCCACACACAGAGAGAGACAGCCACACACAGAGAGAGACAGCCACACACAGAGAGAGACAGCCACACACAGAGAGAGACAGCCACACACAGAGAGAGACAGCCACACACAGAGAGAGACAGCCACACACAGAGAGAGACAGCCACACACAGAGAGAGACAGCCACACACAGAGAGAGACAGCCACACACAGAGAGAGACAGCCACACACAGAGAGAGAGAAGCCACACACAGAGAGAGACAGCCACACACAGAGAGAGACAGCCACACACAGAGAGAGAGAGACAGCCACACACAGAGAGAGAGAGACAGCCACACACACAGAGAGAGACACTGCCCCACACAGAGAGAGAGACACTGCCCCACACAGAGAGAGAGACACTGCCCCACACAGAGAGAGAGACACTGCCCCACACAGAGAGAGAGACACTGCCCCACAGAGAGAGACACTGCCCCACAGAGAGAGAGAGACAGCCACACAGAGAGAGAGACAGCCACACAGAGAGACACACACAGAGACACACAGGTCTCTTGCTCTGGTCCCTCTCTCTGGTCTCTTGCTGCTCTGGTCTCTTGCTCTGGTCTCTTGCTCTGGTCTCTTGCTCTGGTCTCTCTCGCTGTTCTCTGTCTGATCTCTCTCTCTTTGGTCTCTCTCTCTTTCCATTGATTTAATAGATTCTCCTCTTCTTCCTCTGTGCAGTTACTGTGGAATCCATGATCCGGCCTGTGTGGTTTATTGCAACACCAGCAAAAAGTGGTTTTGTAACGGCCGCGGAAACACGTCTGGAAGGTAAAGCTCTTTTTCTGATCCCCCGTTTAAAATCATAATCAATATTTTGGTCAAGCCACATTTAGACTTGATTTCAGACAACAATGTCAGAGGGAAGAAGCTGGAACATGGCTTTTCCAGGGACTAGAAGAGCCATTGATTATTTACAGAGCAGAGCACCTCTCTCTGGTCTATCTCTCTCTCTCTCTCGGGCTCTCTCTCTGACTGCTCTCTTTGGGCTGTCTCTCTGATCTCTCTCTCTAGTCTCTCTATCTCTCTGATCTCTCTCTCTCTAGTCTCTCTCTGGTCTCTCTATCTCACTGATCTCTCTCTCTCTAGTCTCTCTCTGGTCTCTCTATCTCACTGATCTCTCTCTCTCTGGTCACTCTCTGACCGCTTTCTTTGGGCTGTCTCTCTGGTCTCTCTATCTCTCTGATCTCTCTCTCTCTAGTCTCTCTCTGGTCCCTCTATCTCTCTGATCTCTCTCTGGTCTCTCTATCTCTCTGATCTCTCTCTCTCTAGTCTCTCTCTATCTCTCTGATCTCTCTCTCTGACCGTTCTCTTTGGGCTCTCTCTCTGGTCTCTCTCTCTAGTCTCTCCCTGGCCTCTCTCTCCTCTTTCTTTGGCTTCAATGTATGATTTCAGTTTGTTTTGGTCAAAAATCCTGTGAAGAAGTCGTTGGATGTAATTTCAGACGGAGCAGCGGATCAGGACCAGATCTGTGACTAATGACCTCACCGTGTAAAAGCACTAAAACATGTGCTTCAGGACCAGGACCAGTTAGATTCAGATTCAAAAACAGCTGCAATACAAGTGCAAGATTATTAAAGTGCTTTGTTCAGACTGGGCTCTCTCTTCTCTCTCTTTGGTCTCTCTCTCTCTCTTTGGTCTCTCTCTCTGGTCTCTCTCTCTAGTCTCTCTCTGGTCTCTCTTTCTAGTCTCTCTCTGGTCTCTCTCTCTGGTCTCTCTCTAGTCTCTCTCTCTGGTCTCTCTCTAGTCTCTCTCTGGTCTCTCTCTGGTCTCTCTCTGGTCTCTCTCTGGCCTCTCTCTGGCCTCTCTCTGGTCACTCTCTGGCCTCTCTCTGGTCTCTCTCTGGTCACTCTCTCTGGTCTCTCTCTAGTCTCTCTCTCTGGTCTCTCTCTAGTCTCTCTCTGGTCTCTCTCTGGTCTCTCTCTGGTCTCTCTCTGGTCTCTCTCTGGTCTCTCTCTAGTCTCTCTCTGGTCTCTCTCTGGCCTCTCTCTGGTCTCTCTCTGGTCTCTCTCTGGTCTCTCTCTAGCCTCTCTAGTCTCTCTCTGGCCTCTCCCTGGTCTGTCTCTAGTCTCTTCCTGGTCTCTCTCTGGTCTCTTTCTCTGGTCTCTCTCTAGTCTCTCTCTCTGGTCTCTCTCTAGTCTCTCTCTGGTCTCTCTCTGGTCTCTCTCTGGTCTCTCTCTGGCCTCTCTCTGGCCTCTCTCTGGTCTCTCTCTGGTCTCTCTCTGGTCACTCTCCAGCCTCTCTCTAGTCTCTCCCTGGTCTGTCTCTAGTCTCTTCCTGGTCTCTCTCTGGTCTCTCCCTCTCTCTGGTGTTTTTCTGGTCTCACAGCGGAGCACCTTGTTCAGAGCTCTTCTTTCTTTGAACCACAGTCACAGAACAAACAAACAAGCCAAAAGTTATTAAGAAATGGATTATAGTCTGTAAATGTCCTTGGTCTTTATCTCCTCCACATGTGACTCTGAGACGATGCTTGTGAATCTAATGCCGTTGTTTGTTCAGTTAATTGGCCGCAGACGTTGGACACATTTGGAAACGATTCCAAACTCTCCGCTTCACATTAAAAGACGTAAACGCTCTGAACGACGTTACAAACATTTCTGAAATACTTTTGCAGTGAGACCGCTCTCGTTGATCCTCTCGTATCGGCTCAATTCATCCAATTCCTCTGAAATGTTGTCTCTCTAGTTTCTTTTTGGTCTCTCTCTCTCTCTCTCTCTCTCTGTCTGTCTCTCTCTGGTCTCTCTCTGGTCTCTCTCTCTGGTCACTCTCCGGTCTCTCTGGTCTCTCTCTGGTCTCTCTCTCTCTGTCTCTCTCTGTTCTCTCTTTGGTCTCTCTTTCTGTTCTCTTTTTGGTCTCTGTGTGTGTCTCGCTCTCTGGTCTCTCTCTTGAATCTCTGGTCTCTCTCTGGTCTCTCTCTTGCCTCTCTCTTTCTGATCTCTCTCTTGCCTCTCTCTGGTCTCTAGTCTCTCTTTCTGGCCTTTCTCTGATCTCTCTCTGGTCTCTCTCTAGTCTCTCTCTCTCTCTCTTGTCTCTCTCTCTGGCCTCTCTCTGGTCTCTCTCTCTCTCTCTCTTGTCTCTCTCTCTGGCCTCTCTCTGGCCTCTCTCTGGTCTCTCTCCGGCCTCTCTTTGGTCTCTCTCTCTGGCCTCTCTCTGGCCTCTCTCTGGCCTCTCTCTGGCCTCTCTCTGGCCTCTCTCTGGTCTCTCTCTCTCTCTCTTGTCTCTCTCTCTGGCCTCTCTCTGGCCTCTCTTTGGTCTCTCTCTCTGGCCTCTCTCTGGCCTCTCTCTGGTCTCACTCTGGTCTCTCTCTCTGGCCTCTCTCTGGTCTCTCTCTCTCTCTCTTGTCTCTCTTTCTGGCCTCTCTCTGGCCTCTCTCTGGTCTCTCTCTGGTCTCTCTCTGGTCTCTCTCTGGTCTCTCTCTCTGGTCTCTCTCTCTGGCCTCTCTCTGGCCTCTCTCTGGCCTCTCTCTTGTCTCTCTCTGGTCTCTCTCTTGTCTCTCTCTCTGGCCTCTCTCTCTCTGGCCTCTCTCTGGTCTCTCTCTGGTCTCTCTCTGGTCTCTCTCTCTGGCCTCTCTCTGGTCTCTCCCTGGTCTCTCTCTCTCTTGCCTCTCTCTGGTCTCTCTCTTGATCATCATTCTTTCCCCCTTGTTCTGATTGAAGCCACATAGTGAACCATCTGGTGAGGGCCAAGTCCAAGGAGGTGACCCTGCACAAAGACGGGCCTCTGGGGGAGACGGTGCTGGAGTGTTACAACTGCGGCTGTCGCAACGTCTTTCTGCTCGGATTCATCCCGGCCAAAGCAGACTCCGTGGTGGTTCTACTCTGCAGGTACCGCCATCTCTGCTCTCTCTCTTTCTCGGCTCGCTCTTTCATTCTCCTGCTCTCTCTCGCTTTTCTATTGCTTCTCTCGGCTCTCTCTCTCGAAGAAGAAGAAGAAGATGGGGAGAGGGGAGGAGAGTGGACAGGAGAGGATAGTGGAGAAGAAGAGAGGGGGGAGGAGAGTGGAGGAGAAGAGAGGGAAGAGGAGAGAAGAAGAAAGGGGAGACGAGAGTGGAGCAGAAAGGGGAGAGGGGAGGAGAATAAAGGGGAGAGGAGAGTGGAGAAGAAAGGGGGGAGGAGAGTGGAGGAGAAGAAAGGAGAGGAGAACCCTAACCCAAGAAGAAGGGGAAAGGGAGAGAATAGAAGAAAGGGGAGAGAGTGGAGAAGAATATACGGGAGAGGAGAAGAAAGGGGAGGAGAGAGGAGAACCCTAACCCAAGAAGAAAGGGGAAGGGAGAGAATAGAAGAAAGGGGAGAGGAGAAGAAGAGAGGGGAGAGGAGAGTGGAGAAGAATATACAGGAGAGGAGAAGAAAGGGGAGAGGAGAGTGGAGAAGAATATACAGGAGAGGAGAAGAAAGGGGAGGAGAGAAGAGAAGAAGAAAGGAGAGGAGAACCCTAACCCAAGAAGAAAGGGAAGGGAGAGAATAGAAGAAAGGGGAGAGGAGAGTGGAGAAGAAGATACGGGAGAGGAGAAGAAAGGGGAGAGGAGAGGAGAGAAGAGCAGAAAAGTGGAGAGCTCATTAAATCTCTTTAAAAAAGTCTGGCCTTGATCCCAGAGCGTCACAGCGCCACCATGAGGCCTGGCCTAGTACCACAGCATTTGGACTTCATTCACCTGGATGCAAAATGCAGCCTAAAATATAGTCATTCAGTAACTTTGGAGGAACTAGAACTAATGCCTTTTTATAGAACAGTGTCTTTCCCAACACTGCTCTGGGTGCTCTGTCCTCAGCTTTACCTCATATCACCAGGTCATAGTCGCACGGTCATTTATGGTTCTTGTTTTTGATCTGGTCCTCCGTTCCAGGCAGCCGTGTGCGAGCCAGAGCAGCCTGAAGGACATAAACTGGGACAGCTCTCAGTGGCAGCCGCTGATCCAGGACCGCTGCTTCCTGTCGTGGCTCGTGAAGATCCCGTCTGAGCACGAGCAGCTGAGGGCGCGACAGATCACAGCGCAGCAGATCAACAAGCTGGAGGAGCTGTGGAAGGTGCGTCACCCACACCGCAACACATGTGGGTCAGAGGCATCCGGAGCTAAAGAGCTAGCAGGCTATCGGTCTAGCAGGCTATTGGGCTTGCAGGCTATTGGGCTACTCTATTAAGACTATCATGCTATCACGCTATCGGGCTATCACTCTATCATGCTATCTTATGAGCTATTACATTATTTATTGTTTTTTAATAGTAGTAGTAAGTAAGTAGTAATCTTTATTTATATACCGCCTTTTCACTGCAGATCTGAGTCTCAAAGCGGTTTACAATTGTTATTTTTGGGCATTTGTCTCTCACTCCACACAGAGATGGGAGCGGGGTCGCCAGTACAGGAGGCACATGCCAGAATTATTGGACATATTTTTAGTGGTAGGGGAAACCGGAGTACCCGGAGGAAACCTACGCAGACACGGGGAGAACATGCAAACTCCACTCAGAAAGGCCCTGGTCTGACCGGGATTCGAACCCAGGACCTTCTTGCTGAGAGGCGAGAGTGCTATCCACTCAGCCACCGTGCCGCCAGCTCTAATAACAAGTAGAGCTGCACAATTTAGGCAAAAATATGTAACTACTATTTTTTCAGATAACCCTTAAAATTATGTGTTGATGATGTCATTAATAATCGTTCATTAGATTCTGTTATCACATTTTTGAGAAGAGACTAAAATATGAAGCGATACCGTATAGTCAGTTCAATTCCATTCATTTTTTTCACAGCCCTATTTAAGGCGCACCTGTGTATAAGCCGCGCCACCTACATTTTAAAAGAAAATCAATATTGTCCACGTATAGGCCGCACCCGAATATAAGCCGCAGGTTTTCATGTTGTAACGTAGCAGAGAAACGACTGTTTTAACGACGAGGTGTTAGCTTCACTCATTCACCTTCATCTGTTTTGATCATAAACAAGTGTCCTGTAGCTACTGAAACTACAGTCAAAATAATAAGTCCATAAACTCTACCACAATAAAGATTCACATATTAGCCGCGTCTCTATATAAGCCTCAGTGATAAAAAAAGCTAGAAAAATGCATCAGACATCAGGGGAATAAGGCGGTGGTCCTGACATGACGGTATGGGTCATGAGTAGTTTAACGTGGGCGTGTTGCAGGAGAGTCCGGGTGCAACTCTGGAGGACCTGGAGAAACCCGGTGTGGACGAGGAGCCTCAACACGTGCTGCTGCGCTACGAAGACGCCTACCAGTACCAGAACATCTTTGGGCCTCTGGTCAAACTGGAGGCCGACTACGACAAGAAGCTGAAGGAGTCGCAGGTGACGCTTCCTATTCGTCTTTCTGGTTCTTTATGGCAAAATGTCCGTCCGTCTGCAGAGAAACTCAAATTGACTGTATTCTGCATCAGTTGGTATTTGCTAAGCTAATTTGCTAATGGGCCAAAAATTGAGCTTTCATGGAGTGATTCAAAATGGCCGCGGGGGCTGGAAAATGTGAAAAAACGCGTCAGCTGCACAAGCTCCATTCATCTGAACGAGTGACTTCAAAAGTCCACAGCGACTAAACTAGACTGGTCCAGAACACTCCCTCAGCATTAACACACATGTGGAACGGAGCTTTGGGCCAAGACCCAACTTTTGGTCCATCCTGTAAAGACGTTTTCGAGAGGTCTGCTAATGCTATATGTTAGCAGTGGCTAATTCTTATTCCGGGTGGTACTGCAGCATGTCAGCGCACGTCATTTTGGCCACTTTTGAGCCGGGACCCGCCTACACTGGTTGAAACGCGCTGAAATCTGGCAGATATAGAAAAAGAAGATGGTTTAAAGAATACAAGAACTAATTAGTGACTTTATTTAGTTCATCCTTCACATTTACTGTTATTTAACTTAAGATTTTTGTGTTTCAGACTCAGGACAACATCACAGTCAGATGGGACCTGGGGCTAAACAAGAAGAGGATCGCTTACTTCTCGATTCCAAAAACAGATTCAGGTTTGTCCTCTTTACATTTGTCCTAGAACACCTTTTGCAGTTGATATAAATCCCAGTGCATTTCTCTCAGACATGCGGCTGATGCAGGGAGACGAGATCTGCCTCCGGTACAAAGGAGACCTGGCTCCTCCGTGGAAAGGCATCGGCCACGTCATCAAAGTCCCTGATAGTATCCTTTTGTTGTTCACATGTTTTTACACCAGGATCTGTCTTTGGAGTGAGGAGTCGCACATCAGTGGAGGCGAGGACAGTATCGTCTACAGTTTAATAGAAAGAATGAATCCCAAGTAAAACGTGTGGGAATCAACTTAAGGATTTGTAAAACGGCTGAAGCTATTTTGAGTGACTGTATTCTGTAAGTGCTACAAAACAGTAAAAACATTCAAAACATACCATTATTACATGATTACACTTCTATCACACTCATATCACAGTATAAGATAAGAATTCCTTTATTCGTCCCACAGTGGGGAAATTTCGATTGCATCGCACATATAGGACAGTAGTAAGAGCACACAGGGATCACACACAATATATACACTATAAACAAATAAGTAGTAGCTATGTTTCTTAACTAACATAACTAGCTGTAGATGCTGAAAATGCTTCAATACCAGTCAAAAAATATATGTGGTAGTGCAGTTATATACTGTAGAGTTAAATAGTGCAGGATAAAAAGTATATAAGTAAAGTGACATTGTTCTGTGACATCCTGAAGTTGCAGTATTGCACATTGCACATAATTTAAGAATTTACTTAATTACAGATGAATGAAATTTACAGGCTCAGCAGTTCTTATTGTACAGTCTGACAGCAGCAGGAAGGAAAGACCTACGGAACCTCTCCTTCACACAGCGAGGGTGAATTAGTCTGTCACTGAAGCTGCTCTCCAGAGCAGAGAGAGTGTCCTGCAGGGGGTGACAGTCATGGTCCAGCATAGATGTTAGTTTGCTCAGGACCCTCCTGTCCCCCACCTGCTGCACTGTGTCCAGGGAACAGCCCAGGACTGAGCTGGACTTCCTGATAACCTTGTCCAGCTTCTTCCTGTCCCTCTCTGTGATACTGCTGTTCCAGCAGAACACACCATACAAGAGGCTAATGCCACCACAGAGTCATAGAAGGTCTTCAGGAGTGGCCCCTGCACTCCAAAAGACCTGAGCCTCCTCAGCAGGTAGAGCCGGGTCTGGCCCTTCTTGAAGAGGGCGTCTGTGTTATGAGTCCAGTCCAGTTTGTGGTTCAGATGAACACCCAGGTACTTGTAAGAGTCCACTCTCTCGATGTCCTTTCCCTGGATGTTCACTGGGGCTGGAGCGGCAGAGTGACGTCTGCGGAAATCCACCACCATCTCCTTAGTCTTCCCCGCGTTGATGAGGAGGTGGTTCCGCTGACACCAGTCCACAAAGTCCTGTATAACTCCTCTGTGTCATTGTCCTCGGAGCTGAGTCCGATGATGGCAGAGTCGTCAGAGAACTTCTGTAGCACACAACCGTCCGTGTTGTGTCTGAAGTCCGCAGTGTAGAGGGTGAAGAGGAACGGTGCGAGGACTGTCCCCTGGGGGGCCCCCACACTGCAGGTCAGGACCTCAGACACGTAGTCCCTGGTTCTCACAAACTGGGGTCTGTCTGTGAGGTAGTCCAGGATCCACTCAGACAGGTCGTAGTCCACTCCAGCTGTCTCCAGCTTGTCCCTGAGAAGCCTCGGCTGGATGGTGTTGAAGGCGCTGGAGAAATCAAAGAAGAGGTTCCTCACAGTGGAGCCGGGTTTCTCCAGGTGGGACAGGGAGCGATGGAGGAGGGAGATGATGGCGTCCTCGACTCCGATGTCCGGCCTGTAGGCGAACTGCAGCGGGTCCATCGCTGGGCTATTGCACTGTGCATTTATTTTGAATACTTTATTTCGAGCCGTGGCAGACAAGAACAAAGAACAACAACAAAACAACACAAGGAAGAAGTATCAAAAGTGAAAGAACAATGGAAAAGTTTGCAGTACTTTAAACTACTGCGATACTGCAAATACTATTGGATTAATACATATAAAAACTTACCACTAGAAAGTTTAAACTCTAAAAAGATCAGAGACATTTAAATTGTTACATAAAAAAGACAAGAAAAACCAAACTGTTGATGTGAAAAACCCCCATTTATAAAATATACAAAAAAGTACAAGTTTAGGTACAAATATTTCAAATACTTCAAAGGATGTACACACCAAAAGTAACAGCCCAAAAGAGGTACAACACGTTATAGTTTGGTTGAATAGTTTTCAGTGATGGGAATAACGGCGTTACTAGTAACGGCGTTACTAACGCCGTTACTTTTTTCAGTAACGAGTAATCTAACTAATTACTTTGACTGTAACTATAACGCCGTTATCATTTCCGACATCCCGTTACTGCGCGTTACTAAAGACGCACAATGAACTTCTCTTTTTCCTTCGTGATAGGACTCGTGCGCGTGTTGTCATGAGAGAAGGGAGGATGAGAAAACCTCTCAGATGTTATTGGCTGATGTAAAACATTTCCTTTACAATCTACATGTCTACAGTTGAGAGGATGCTCATAAATTGTGTTTTTGAAACAAATATGGGTCTTAGTCGCGCTCAACCACAGCTTGTATCACCGTGAGGGCTCAGAGGAGCTCATGTGAGCGCAGAAGGCTGCATACAATTCTATCAGAAAGCTCCTTTCTCTTCCTGGTTTATCTGCTAATGGCTGCAACAAGTTTGGCTAACATATAACACATTTTAAGATAATTTAAAATGCACTTACGGTAATTTTTCAATTACTATAGGAATGATAAGAAAGAGAGGTGAAGTGTAAGACGGTTGATTTTAGAAATTGGATGCACCCGGCTGCACCTAGCAAAACAGTAGTTTACGGAGGACATACGCGTTTTGTTTTACTTTTTAAAACTCATTTCCAAATGGAGGATTATATATCTACGCTCAAACTATTATCTGGACTTAAACACAGAACTGGTCTGAACCGAAGTGGACTGTGCAGGTCATTTATAAGGTAAGACCCATAACTCATAGTTTTGCGTTTGTTATGAACAAACAATGCGGGCATGAAACATATTTTGCTGTAGCCAAACAAATTGTCCACTTGATTTATATGATATATATATACATATATATATGATATATATGTTCATCTGATTGGGCTGAAGTCAGTGCTTCACCGGTGTTTCCACATTCACAGTGGCAGGTGTTGGTGTTTAGTGCTTACAGCACAGAGAGAGATGAAGAGTGAACAGGACTTCAGCAGCAAAACAGACTTTTCTAGATGGAAATATTGGCACTATTTCAAACTCACTGAGGTTAAAGGTAAAAATGCGTTCGTCGAGTGCACATTATGTTCCAGAACAAAACGAAAAAGTAACGCAATAGTTACTTTTACTGGTAACTAGTTACTTTTATAGTGGAGTAACTCCGTTAGTAACTCAGTTACTTTTTGGGAGAAGTAACTAGTAACTATAACTAATTACTTTTTCAAAGTAACGTGCCCAACACTGATAGTTTTATGTCTGATCCTATTCTGAGCCCAGCAGAGGAACAGTGCCCCCTTATGGTTGCTTTGAGGAACTACAACAACATCACATTTTCCCCAGTCTGCTGCTGAGGCCTATATTTAGACCTCAGAGTATATTTATGACAGAACAGAGATAGAGATAGAGAGTGGGTAATGACAGAATGACAGGCTCCTGCTGAGGCTGAGACCGGTCCCTGACTCTCTGTGAACCACTGCTGAGGCTGAGACCAGTCCCTGACTCTCTGTGAACCAGATTATGGAGACGAGATCGCCATCGAGCTCCGGAGCAGCACGGGAGCCCCCATCGAGATCCCACACAACTTCCAAGTGGACTTTGTCTGGAAGTCCACGTCGTTTGACAGGTACACGGGTCTGTGTGGGATTAAGTAATGAACCACCTGTATAAGTATAATGAGGTATAACACACACATCAAAGTCTATTCATACAGAAACATTATAGTTTTTAATACTGGCCACAAAAGTTAGAGTTGTTTTGTGTGAGACTTTTTCCAGTTCAAATTCAGCCAATTCTGGAATTTCAAGATGACGAAACATGCAATCTCAACATTTTCTCTCTCTAGTCTCTCTCTGGGGACCTGGTGAATACATTATTATTATTTTAAGTAAGAGCCTCAGACCTCTCTGCTCTTTGTTTTCTACATTATACCTGATCCTGTTTGCACTTTGGTTAATATGTTTTTATTCATAAAGAACCTTCAGAACAGGCAGCTCTCAGTCCTCTTTCAGAGTGGAGCACCTCTCTCTGGTCTCTCGCTTTGGTCTCACTCTGATCTCTAGTCTCCCTCTCTCTAGGTCTCTCTCTTTCTCTGTTCTGTCTCTAGTCTCTCTCTGGTATCTCTCTGCTCTCTTTCTCTGGTCGGTCTCTCTCTCTCATTCTCTCCTTCTCTTGTGCCTGTCGCAGGATGCAGTATCTCTGGTCTTTCTCTGGTCTCTCTCTCTCATTCTCTTCTTCTCTTGTGCCTGTGGCAGGATGCAGTGTGCCCTGAAGACCTTTGCTGTGGACGAGACGTCTGTGTCCGGCTACATTTACCACAAACTCCTGGGACACGAGGTGGAGGACGTCATCATCAAGTGCCAGCTCCCCAAGCGCTTCACTGCTCAGGGGCTGCCGGACCTCAACCACTCCCAGGTGACCCCCACGGCTAGTTCAGCTAGTTAAGGAACATAGCTACTACTTATTTTGTATATTTTGTGTGCGCTGCAACATCGAAATTTCCCTACTGTAGGACAAATAAAGGAACTCTTATTTTATCTTACACCTCTCTCTCTGGTTTCTCTCCCTCTCTCTCGCTCTCTTGCTCTCTCGCTCTCTGGTCTCTCAAGTCTCGCTCTCTCTAGTCTGTCTCTCTCTCTGGTCTCTCTCCCGGTCTCTCTGGTCTCTCTCTGGTCTCTCTCTGGTCTCTCTCTAGTCTTTCTCTGGTCTCTCTCGTCTCTCTCTGGTCTCTCTCTGGTCTCTCTCGTCTCTGTCTGGTCTCTCTCTGGTCTCTCTCTGGTCTCTCTCTAGTCTCTCTCTGGTCTCTCTCTGGTCTCTCTCTGGTCTCTCTCTTGTTTCTCTCTGGTCTCTCTCTAGTCTCTCTCTCTCTTGTTTCTCTCTGGTCTCTCTAGTCTCTCTCTGGTCTCTCTCTCTCTTGTTTCTCTCTGGTCTCTCTGGTCTCTCTCTGGTCTCTCAGTAGCAGCAGAGGAGGTGTGGTTCGTTTTGAACCATTTTCTCTGCTCTGGTCCAAAGTGAAATGCTAAATGCTTTGTTAGAATTTTTCAAAAAGTTAGCATTCCTCCAGTGGATTTCTGCTTGATCTGCTTGGTCTGGTCCATGAATCTTCTCTCCTCTGGTCTGGACCAGTGTAAAACCATGAACACTGTACTGCATTAATAATTACAGGTAGAAAAAAGCAAGAACAATAACAATTGTAAAACACAATTCAGCAACTGTTTCAGAGACACTTTGAACTTTCCAGAGCATTAAAAAGTAAAAACAGTCACGTCCAATGATCTGAAGCGGAATCAGACTGTGTTTGTTTACTCAGGTTTATGCAGTGAAGACTATGTTTGTTCAGGTTTATGCAGTGAAGACTATGTTTGTTCAGGTTTATGCAGTGAAGACTGTTTGTTCATGTTTATGCAGTGAAGACTGTGTTTGTTCAGGTTTATGCAGTGAAGACTGTTTGTTCAGGTTTATGCAGTGAAGACTGTGTTTGTTCAGGTTTATGCAGTGAAGACTGTGTTTGTTCAGGTTTATGCAGTGAAGACTGTGTTTGTTCAGGTTTATGCAGTGAAGACTGTGTTTGTTCAGGTTTATGCAGTGAAGACTGTTTGTTCAGGTTTATGCAGTGAAGACTGTGTTTGTTCAGGTTTATGCAGTGAAGACTGTGTTTGTTCAGGTTTATGCAGTGAAGACTGTGTTTGTTCAGGTTTATGCAGTGAAGACTGTGCTGCAGCGTCCTCTGAGTCTGATCCAAGGACCTCCAGGAACGGGCAAAACCGTGACCTCTGCTACGATAGTCTACCACCTCGCTCGACAAGGCAACGGGTAAGAACCACCATCCATCTTGTGCCTCTCCTTTAGCAGCGGCCTGAGCCACGAGAGGCGATAGTTTCAGGTGTCTACTCTCAGCTGGGATAAGAGAGAGAGAGACAGACAGACAGACAGGGGGAGAGAGAGACAGTGAGAGACAGAGAGAGACGGAGAGGGAGAGAAAGAGACAGTGGGAGGGAGAGAGACGGACAGAGAGACAGACAGACGGATGGACAGAGGGAGAGACACTGAGAGAGGGAGAGACACACACAGACAGGGGGAGGGAGAGACAGAGGGAGAGACACACAGAGGGAGGGAGAGACACACAGAGGGAGAGAGAGACAGACAGAGGGAGAGAGAGACAGACAGAGGGAGAGAGAGAGACAGACAGACAGACAGAGGGAGAGAGAGAAAGACAGAGGGAGATAGAGAGAGACAGATTGAAAGAGCGATTGAGAGAGATCGACAGAGGTAGAGAGACAGAGGGACAGAGGGAGAGAGACAGGCAGGGACAGGGGGAGATAGAGAGAGACAGATTGAAAGAGCGATTGAGAGAGATCGACACAGGTAGAGAGAGAGAGACGGGTAGAGAGAGAGACAAGAGGCGCCATCTGTGGGGTCCTCCAGATTACCAGGTTGTCCAGCTTATGCTTTTTTCCTTAATTTAATTCATTTCGTAGCCATTTCATACTTTGCGTACTAACAAGCCTTTACTTCTACACTAAACGAGTGAACGAGGTCTCTGGCTCCTCATAATTATAACATTTGACTGACTGGGTAGGCCCCGGCCTACCCAGGCCTGCCCACAGCTAGAGGTCTGCGCAGCATCCTAGCCACAAAACACAACAGCTCATTTGGCGAGATCCCGGGGAGAGCCCAGGCCAGCTCTAGTCTGAGTCTTGAGTCTTCCCCGAGGCCTTTTGCTGAGTGACATGAACAATTCCACAGAGTCAGGTGTCTAGAGTAGATTCTTGGATCCACCTCTTTTGCTTGTTCTGCAGGATTTCTCCCATGTCTAATGTCAAAACAAGATACTGGCAAAACATGTAGTCGACTGTAGCGATCAAAAATGTAAAGTTACATGAGTCACTATTATAAACATGTGTGCGTCCTCAGGTTGTTTGTGTATCCTCTACATTGTGTGTGTGTGTGTGTTGTGTGTCCAGGCCGGTGCTGGTGTGTGCTCCCAGTAACATCGCAGTGGACCAGCTGACGGAGAAGATCCACCAGACTGGACTCAAAGTTGTCCGACTCTGTGCCAAGAGCCGAGAGGCCATAGACTCCCCGGTGTCTTTCCTCGCTCTGCACCATCAGACCCGGAACATGGACAGGTAGCTCCACCAGAACCATGGACCTCCTTCATGGTCTTCAGCCTAGTGTAGATCCACCAGAACCTTGGACCTCCTTCATGGTCTTCAGCCTAGTGTAGATCCACCAGAACCATGGACCTCCTTCATGGTCTTCAGCCTAGTGTAGATCCACCAGAACCATGGACCTCCTTCATGGTCCTCAGCCTAGTGTAGATCTCTCTCTCATGTCTCTCTCTCTCTCTCATGTCTCTCTCTCTCTCTCATGTCTCTCTCTCTCTCTCATGTCTCTCTCTCTCTCTCATGTCTCTCTCTCTCTCATGTGCAGCATGCCTGAGCTGCAGAAGCTGCAGCAGCTGAAGGATGAGACTGGAGAACTGTCGTCGTCTGATGAGAAACGCTACAGAGCTCTGAGACGCACCGCGGAGAGAGAGCTGCTGATGGTACAACAACAACACAACAACAACACACTCTGGATCAGGGTTTCTCACCTCAGAAACTTCAAAACATGATCAAATATGATTATTAAATATTTGCTTGTCTTACTTTTTATCTTGATATGACTCATTCTGACTGTGTTAAAACCAGATTCTCCAACGGGACGAAGACATTTAGTCTCAAAACAGTTGCTTTATTTTCTCATTACAATTTGGCCTTTCCTTTATCTTTTTTAAACAAGATGGTTCTAAACATTTTCACCACTCTGGTTCAGAGTGAAATTCTGAATGCTTCATTAGCATTTTCAAACCAAATTAAAGACCATGAACTCTGTGCTGCAGAAGCATTTACAGCTGGAAAAAAGCACGAAAAATAACAATTGAAAGAAAAAAATAATTCTTAACTCGTCCCACAGTGGAGAGACTTCAGTTTGATGAACACACATATATACGAAAGTGTCTTGCCCAAGGACACAACGACAGCAGACATCAGTGGGAGTTGGTGGGGAAGGTCTTGCAGTGGACTCGAACCCACGACCTTCCGCCCCCAAAACAACAACAAAACAACACAAGGACTTGCTGCAGATTCCAGGTCATTCTAAAGAGGATTGTGTTGTCACCAGATGAGACCGAACACCAGACCTTGGAAACCTACTGGGACTGAGACCATGTGACTGAGACCATGTGACTGAGACCACGTGACTGAGACCACGTGACTGAGACCACGTGACTGAGACCACGTGACTGAGACCACATGACTGAGACCACATGACTGAGACCACATGACTGAGACCACATGACTGAGACCACATATGACTGTGACCATATGACTGTGACCATATGACTGTGACCATATGACCTGGACTGAGACCATATGACCTGGACTGAGACCATAGCGGTCCACTCTGAGGCACCATGTGTGACTGTTGATGGTTGCAGAATGCTGATGTGATCTGCTGCACTTGTGTCGGAGCCGGAGATCCTCGTTTGGCAAAGATGCAGTTCCGCTCCATCCTCATCGACGAGAGCACCCAGGCCACGGAGCCGGAGTGCATGGTCCCAGTGGTGCTGGGGGCCAAGCAGGTAGACTGTGTACTCTCTCGCTCTTGCGCTCTCTCGCTCTCTCTGTGTGTCTCTCTCTCTCTCTCTCTCTCTCTCTGTGTGTCTCTCTCTCTCTCTCTCTCTGTGTGTGTCTGTCTCTTTTGTCTCGCTCTGTTTCTCTCTGCCCCTCTCTCCCTTTCTGTTTCTCTCTTTCTCTCTGTTTTTTCTTTGTCTCTGTCTACCTCTCTGCCCCTCTCTCCCTTTCTGTATCTCTCTCTGTCTCCCTTTTTGACTCTCTCTCTCTCTCTGTCTCATCACTGCCTGAACACAACCTTCAAGTGTGCCATGTGTGTAGCATTAAAACGATAACATTGTGTGTAAAAAAAGCCATGTTGTGTTGCCTAATGTGTGTGTGTGTGTGTGTGCAGCTGATCCTGGTGGGGGATCACTGTCAGCTGGGACCAGTGGTGATGTGTAAGAAAGCGGCCAAAGCCGGTCTGTCCCAGTCCCTGTTCGAGCGCCTGGTGGTCCTGGGCATCAGACCCATCCGGCTGCAGGTCCAGTACCGGATGCACCCGGCTCTCAGCGCCTTCCCTTCCAACATCTTCTACGAGGGCTCCCTGCAGAACGGGGTCACCGCCGGTAAGAGACACACAAACACATGTGTATATATGTATACACATACATATATATGTATGTGTATACACACATATACAGCATAAATGTAAACAGGAGTCATAAGAAAACATCCATCCCAAATGTTATCAACAGATTTATTTGTTACATGTTCCCCACATATCATCAAAACTTACTGTACCTTATTGAAGACACACATTTGAGCCTGTGGAGTAAACAGTCTCGTGCTTTGGGCTCAGAAGTGTCTCTGTCCAAGTGATGGAGGCACATTTTTTATTTCATTTCTATTTAACCAGGAAAGTCCCATTGAGATTAAAAACCTCCTTTTCAAGAAAGTCCTGGACAAAAGTCACATACAGTTACAGATTAAAAAACGTTTACATTTCAATGAGGACGTCTCAAGTGCTCTTAATTAATTACACGTTCCATGTAGAATGAGCAGAGAGACAGAAGAGAGAGAGAGACAGTGAGAGAGACAATGAGAGAGAGAGAGAGAGAGAGAGAGAGAAGATAGACAGAAGAGAGGGACGGAAGCGAGAGACGGAAGCGAGAGACGGAAGAGAGGGACAGACGTATGTAACTACCAAAAGTCCATGGTTTTCTTTGAGCAAACATCCAAATCCTTCTTTGACTCATTAACTGTGAAGTTACTTTGTTGCAGGCGACAGGATGAAGAAAGGCTTTGACTTCCAGTGGCCTCAGCTCGACAAACCCATGTTCTTCTACGTCACCCAGGGCCAGGAGGAGATCGCCAGCTCCGGGACCTCCTATCTCAACAGGTCTTCACTTCTGCTCTCTCACCAGACGACTCTCTCTCTCTCTCTCTCTCCTCTCGCTGCTAAACGCTTGGTCTCTCTCTCTCTCTCTCCTCACTGTCATACGCTTGGTCTCGCTCTCTCTCTCTCCTCTCGCTGTTATACGCTTGGTCTCTCTCTCCTCTCACTGTTAAACGCTTGGTCTCTCTCTCTTGCTGTTATACGCTTGGTCTCTCTCTCTCTCTCTCTCTCTCCTCACTGTTAAACGCTTGGTCTCTCTCTCTCTTGCTGTTAAACGCTTGGTCTCTCTCTCGCTCTCTCTCCTCGCTGTTAAACGCTTGGTCTCTCTCTCTCTCTTGCTGTTATACGCTTGGTCTCTCTCTCGCTCTCTCTCCTCGCTGTTAAACGCTTGGTCTCTCTCTCTCTCTTGCTGTTATACGCTTGGGCTCTCTCTCTCTCTCTCTCCTCACTGTTAAACGCTTGGTCTCTCTCTCTCTTGCTGTTATACGCTTGGTCTCTCTCTCCTCTCGCTGTTAAACGCTTGGTCTCTCTCTCTCTCTCGCTGCTAAACGCTTGGTCTCTCTCTCGCTCTCTCGCTGCTAAACCCTTGGTCTCTCTCGCTCTCTCTCCTCTCGCTGCTAAACGCTTGGTCTCTCTCTCTCTCTCTCTCCTTTCGCTGTTAAACACTTGGTCTCTCTCTCTCTCTCTCCTCTCGCTGTCTCTCTCTGCTGTTAAACACTTGGTCTCTCTCTCCTCTCGCTGTTAAACGCTTGGTCTCTCTCTCTCTCTCTCGCTCCTCTCGCTGCTAAACGCTTGGTCTCTCTCTCGCTCTCTCGCTGCTAAACCCTTGGTCTCTCTCGCTCTCTCTCCTCTCGCTGCTAAACGCTTGGTCTCTCTCTCTCTCTCTCCTCTCGCTGTCTCTCTCTGCTGTTAAACACTTGGTCTCTCTCTCCTCTCGCTGTTAAACGCTGGGTCTCTCTCTCTCTCTCGCTCCTCTCGCTGCTAAACGCTTGGTCTCTCTCTCGCTCTCTCGCTGCTAAACCCTTGGTCTCTCTCGCTCTCTCTCCTCTCGCTGCTAAACGCTTGGTCTCTCTCTCTCCTCTCGCTGTTAAACGCTTGGTCTCTCTGTCTCGCTCTCTCTCCTCTCGCTGTTAAACACTTGGTCTCTCTCTCTCTCTCCTCTCGCTGTCTCTCTCTGCTGTTAAACACTTGGTCTCTCTCTCCTCTCTCTGTTAAACGCTTGGTCTCTCTCTCTCTCTCTCCTCTCGCTGTCTCTCTCTGCTGTTAAACGCTTGGTCTCTCTCTCTCTCTCGCTCCTCTCGCTGCTAAACGCTTGGTCTCTCTCTCGCTCTCTCGCTGCTAAACCCTTGGTCTCTCTCGCTCTCTCTCCTCTCGCTGCTAAACGCTTGGTCTCTCTCTCTCCTCTCGCTGTTAAACGCTTGGTCTCTCTCTCTCGCTCTCTCTCCTCTCGCTGTTAAACACTTGGTCTCTCTCTCTCTCTCCTCTCGCTGTCTCTCTCTGCTGTTAAACACTTGGTCTCTCTCTCCTCTCTCTGTTAAACGCTTGGTCTCTCTCTCTCTCTCTCCTCTCGCTGTCTCTCTCTGCTGTTAAACACTTGGTCTCTCTCTCTCTCTCTCCTCTCTCTGTTAAACGCTTGGTCTCTCTCTCTCTGTAGAACCGAAGCGTCCAACGTGGAGAAGATCACCACGCGGCTACTGAAGGGCGGAGCCAAACCGGACCAGATCGGGATCATCACGCCGTACGAGGGCCAGCGCTCCTACCTGGTCCAGTACATGCAGTTCAGCGGGTCTCTGCACACCAAGCTCTACCAGGTACCACCAGACCATAAACATACTCATACACCCACTGCCCCTTTACGAACCCATACCCTCCTGCTACAGACATATTGGTCCAGATGAGAGAGACAGTAGACAGAGAGAAGGAGAGAGAAGAGAAATAGAGACAGAAGAGAGAGAGATGGTGACAGTGAGAGATAGAGCCAGAAGAGAGAGAGACTGTGACCGTGAGAGAGAGACAGAAGAGAGAGATAGAAGAGGGAGAGAGACAGTCTCTCTTCTCTCTCTCTTCTGTGTCTCTCCTGTCTCTCTATCTCTCTCCGTCTCACTCTCTTCTGTCTCCCTCTCTGTCTCTGTGTATCTCTCTTTCTCTCTCTGTCTCTCTCCCTCTCCCCCTTCTCTCTCTCTCTGTCTCTCTCCCTCTCCCCCTTCTCTCTCTCTCTGTCTCTCTCTCCCCCTCTCTGTCTCTCTCTCCCCCTCTCTGTCTCTCTCTCCCCCTCTCTGTCTCTCTCTCCACCTCTCTGTCTCTCTCTCCCCCTCTCTGTCTCTCTCTCCCCCTCTCTGTCTCTCTCTCCACCTCTCTGTCTCTCTCTCCCCCTCTCTGTCTCTGTCTCCACCTCTCTGTCTCTCTCTCCCCCTCTCTGTCTCTCTCTCCCCCTCTCTGTCTCTCTCTCCCCCTCTCTGTCTCTCTCTCCCCCTCTCCCTCTCTGTCTCTCTCTCCCCCTCTCTGTCTCTCTCTCCCCCTCTCTGTCTCTCTCTCCCCCTCTCTGTCTCTCTCTCCACCTCTCTGTCTCTCTCTCCCCCCCTCTCTGTCTCTGTCTCCACCTCTCTGTCTCTCTCTCCCCCCTCTCTGTCTCTCTCTCCCCCTCTCCCTCTCTGTCTCTCTCTCCCCCTCTCTGTCTCTCTCTCCCCCTCTCTGTCTCTCTCTCCCCCCTCTCTGTCTCTCTCTCCCCCTCTCCCTCTCTGTCTCTCTCTCCCCCTCTCTGTCTCTCTCTCCCCCCTCTCTGTCTCTCTCTCCCCCTCTCTGTCTCTCTCTCCCCCTCTCTGTCTCTCTCTCCCCCTCTCCCTCTCTGTCTCTCTCTCCCCCTCTGTCTCTCTCTCCCCCTCTCTGTCTCTCTCTCCCCCTCTCTGTCTCTCTCTCCACCTCTCTGTCTCTCTCTCCCCCTCTCTGTCTCTCTCTCCCCCTCTCTGTCTCTCTCTCCACCTCTCTGTCTCTCTCTCCCCCTCTCTGTCTCTGTCTCCACCTCTCTGTCTCTCTCTCCCCCTCTCTGTCTCTCTCTCCCCCTCTCTGTCTCTCTCTCCCCTCTCTGTCTCTCTCTCCCCCTCTCTGTCTCTCTCTCCCCCTCTCTGTCTCTCTCTCCACCTCTCTGTCTCTCTCTCCACCTCTCTGTCTCTCTCTCCCCCTCTCTGTCTCTGTCTCCACCTCTCTGTCTCTCTCTCCCCCTCTCTGTCTCTCTCTCTCCCTCTCTGTCTCTCTCTCTCCCCCTCTCTGTCTCTCTCTCCCCCTCTCTGTCTCTCTCTCCCCCTCTCTGTCTCTCTCTCCACCTCTCTCTCTCTCTCTCTCCCCCCCTCTGTCTCTCTCTCCCCCTCTCTGTCTCTCTCTCCCCCTCTCTGTCTCTCTCTCCACCTCTCTGTCTCTCTCTCCACCTCTCTGTCTCTCTCTCCCCCTCTCTGTCTCTGTCTCCACCTCTCTGTCTCTCTCTCCCCCCTCTCTGTCTCTCTCTCTCCCTCTCTGTCTCTCTCTCTCCCCCTCTCTGTCTCTCTCTCCCCCTCTCTGTCTCTCTCTCCCCCTCTCTGTCTCTCTCTCCACCTCTCTGTCTCTCTCTCCCCCTCTGTCTCTCTCTCCCCCTCTCTGTCTCTCTCTCCCCCCTCTCTGTCTCTCTCTCTCTCTCCCCCTCTCTGTCTCTCTCGTTTCTCCCTTTCTCTCTCCCTCCCTCCCTCTCTCTCTCCCTCTCTCTCCCTCTCCCTCCCTCTCTCTCCCTCTCTGTGTTTGATAAACCATGTGTACATGTGTTTCCAGGAGGTGGAGATAGCCAGTGTGGACGCCTTCCAGGGCAGAGAGAAGGACTTCATCATCCTGTCGTGTGTCCGAGCCAACGAGCACCAGGGCATCGGGTTCCTCAACGACCCCCGACGCCTCAACGTGGCCCTCACTCGCGCACGGTGAGGGCCCTTAATGTTCTCAGGGACTGGACTCATGTGGGAGAGGAGCATGTTCTCAGGGCTCCCATCACGGTTCACCTTTTGACGTCTGATTTTGCTGTGATTAGTTGAGAGGACGTCCAAGGTCTTTTTGTAGCCCTCATTCTCTCTCTCTTGTTTTTCTCTCTTGCTGGTCACTCTGGTCTCACTCTCTGGCCTGTATCTCTCTCTCTGTAGTCTCTCTCTGGTCTCTCTCTGGTCTTTCTCTTCCTGCTTTCTCTAAAGAAGCAAGACTAACATCCATGAGTGTTCAAATGACAAAGCGATGATTCTCAAAAACAGTTTTACGTTGGCGTTGACTGAGACTCTCTCCTCTTCTGTCAGTTACGGCGTCATCATCGTGGGAAACCCCAAAGCTCTGTCCAAGCAGCCGCTGTGGAACCACCTCCTCAACTACTACAAGGAGCAGAAGGTGCTGGTGGAGGGGCCCCTGAACAACCTCCGGGAGAGCCTCATGCAGTTCAGCAAACCCCGCAAACTGGTCAACACCATCAACCCGGTGAGTCCCAGGACTGAGGCCTTAGATCCAGGACTGAGGCCTTAGATCCAGGACTGAGGCCTTAGATCCAGGACTGAGGCCTTAGATCCAGGACTGAGGCCTTAGATCCAGGACTGAGGCCTTAGATCCAGGACTGAGGCCTTAGATCCAGGACTGAGGCCTTAGATCCAGGACTGAGGCCTTAGATCCAGGACTGAGGCCTTAGATCCAGGACTGAGGCCTTAGATCCAGGTCTGAGGCCGTAGATCCAGGTCTGAGGCCGTAGATCCAGGTCTGAGGCCGTAGATCCAGGTCTGAGGCCGTAGATCCAGGTCTGAGGCCGTAGATCCAGGTCTGAGGCCGTAGATCCAGGTCTGAGGCCGTAGATCCAGGTCTGAGGCCTGAGTAGATCTAGTCTAAACCCAGCTGTACTTTCAGGGCGGCCGCTTCATGAGCACAGCAATGTACGACGCCAGAGAGGCCCTGATCCCCGGCTCGGCGTACGACCGCAGCAGCAACGGTGAGATCAGTCTTCTCTAGATTCCCAGATTCACAGTCCACAGAACCTTAACAACGTCTGATCCTGGTCCGGTTTGTCAGGGCGCTCCTCCAGCCTGTACTTCCAGACCCATGACCAGATCGGGATGATTGGCTCCGGAGCGAACCCTCTGGCCTCTCTGAACATCCCCATCCCCTTTAACCTGGTCTTGCCTCCTCTTCCTCCTCCTGGATACTTGGGCCAGATCAACGGACCCTCTGCAGGTGAAGGCCACGACTCGTTATGGTCCCGGTGCAGTGGTCCCTGGGTTATGGCGGGGGTGATGTGTTCTAAAAATAACCTGTGATGATGGAAGGACTGGAAGTAGCAGCTGAATGTTTTTAAGGCTGTAAAAGCCTTACACTCTATACACGTAACTACCTGAACTCACTAAACTGAAACTACTGCTGAAGTGAGAGAGACGAGAGGGAGAGACCGGCGGGAGAGGGAGAGACCGGAGGGAGAGGGAGAGACCGGAGGGAGAGGGAGAGACCGGAGGGAGAGGGAGAGACCGGAGGGAGAGACTGGAGAGAGAGGGAGAGACTGGAGAGAGAGGGAGAGACTGGAGAGAGAGGGAGAGACTGGAGAGAGAGGGAGAGACTGGAAGAGAGAGGGAGAGACTGGAGAGAGAGGGAGAGAGAGACTGGAGAGAGAGGGAGAGACTGGAGAGAGAGGGAGAGACTGGAGAAGAGAGGGAGAGACTGGAGAGAGAGGGAGAGACTGGAGAGAGAGGGAGAGACTGGAGAGAGAGGGAGAGACTGGAGAGAGACCGGAGAGACTGGAGAGAGACCGGAGAGAGACCGGAGAGAGACCGGAGAGAGACTGGAGAGAGACCGGAGAGAGACTGGAGAGAGACTGGAGAGAGACTGGAGAGAGACTGGAGAGAGACTGGAGAGAGACCGGAGAGAGACCGGAGAGAGACCGGAGAGAGACCGGAGAGAGACCGGAGAGAGACCGGAGAGAGACCGGAGAGAGACCGGAGAGAGACCGGAGAGAGACTGGAGAGAGAGGGAGAGACCGATGTGTATCAGCTGTTAGTATTTCCACTACAGTCGGTCACGTGTCTCTGTTTGTGGAGGTCGCGGAGGCCTGAAGGGGAAACCAGGAGGAGGCACTCGAGGCCGTCAGAGGAGCAGGACCATGGGCAGCGCCGGGGGAGGGGACCGAGGCGGGACCAGCCAGACCAGCCAGGACCTGGGCTCTCAGTCCTTCTCCCAGGGGCCTCTCACCCAGGGCTACATGAACATGAGCCAGCCGTCCCAGATGAGCCAGCCGGGCCTGTCCCAAGCCGAGCTCTCCCAGGTCAGTGCCTCTGGACTCGAACCAAACACCTCCTCCTTCCTCTGATCTCACACTTGTACTTTATTCTTACAGGACAGTTACCTTGGAGACGAGTTCAAGTCCCAGATGGACATAGCTCTGTCCCAGGACTCCACCTACCAGGGGGAGCGAGCCTACCAACACGGGGTGACGGGTCTGTCCCAGTATTAGACTGTAAGTGACGTCAATTCGACACACAACACCCCATAATGACAACATGAAAAAAGTTGTTTTGAGATTCTTGCAAATGTATTAAAAATAAAAATAACTAAGGTTGCACATGTCCATAAGTATTCACAGCCTTAATACTTTGTTGATGCACCTTTGGAGCAATCAAAGCCTCAAGTTTTTGTGACTGTGATGCCACAAGCTTGGCACACCTGTCTTTGGGCAGTTTTGGCCCATTCCTCTTTGCAGGACCTCTCGAGCTCCATCAAGTTGGACGGGGAATGTCGGTGCACAGCCATTTTCAGATCTTTCCAGAGATGTTCAGTAGGATTCAAGTCTGGGCTCTGGGCCACTCAAGGACATTCACAGAGTTGTCCTGAAGCCACTTCTTTGTTATCTTGACTGTGTCTCGTTATGATTCTTAAATCATTAACGACAAGACAAGGAATAAAACCAAGATTTCTATCTTTGTGAAAAAGGTGTTGGTTATAGATTTGTTGTTGACTAAACTCTTGTCTATTCAGCTGTTATGGTCCCAGCTGGATTCGTCTGCATATCTGGCAACCTGAGTCAGGGAGAGTGGGAGAGGCTGCAGTACCACTTTTGGACACATTTTTACAAATTGCTCCTTTAAGATTCTCACTTTGCAGATATATTTTTTCATGAATTCTCCACTAAACTCTTTAATCATGTACCGTTTGTGCCGCAGGTTGCAGGAAGGAGCTAGGCCAACGTTCTGCTTAGTTCGACGGTTTTAACGTGGGTGCAGACACAGAGAACCGACCCGTTTTTCCACTGTGTGAAAAAGGTGAGACCGCGAGAATCCGACCAATCACAAGCGAGGAGGGCACCGTGAGAGGCGAGGAGAGGCGGGGCGGGACTCTCGGGGCCCTGAGCGCGAGACAAGATGGCCGACCGGGAGACACACGACGAGGAGAAGAAACCGTGGTGGCAACGGGGCACACGGACGGGACGCTCCACACCACTCCCCACGCCCGAGGAGGTGAAGGCGGGAAGAAGACGGAGATATGAGCGCTAACGTCAAGCTAACGTCCTCCAGGGAGACCCAACAGGACGACTTCTGTGGCTGCGAGAGCGAGAGGAGAGGCTGATAAAGCATTCGGACACTGTTTCGCTAGTGTCCAATCAGCAGCCGAGAAAACAGCTGCCGTTTCCTGCTTTAGTTTCGTAGAAAAAGTAGTATTATTTGTGAGTTCATGCTGAAGTCTGCTGTGTAGTGAACCTGGCTTATGTGTTATTTATCGTGAAATCAAAGGCTTTTTCTCCATCTGCTTTTGAATTGGATTGATGCATATATATTTACTGCATTCTTTGAGAAAGTTGGAAGACATTAAGGAAACGACGGACCCTAAAAACCAAACTCATTGTTGCGTATAACTGAATGTGTTTTTGTCCGGACGTTTATATACACAAATGGCATACAGACAGTTACCGTACTTTCTGGACTCTAGGGCGCACCTGTATACAAGCTGTAATTTATCTAAATTTGAAAAGAAAATCAATTTTGTCCACATATAAGCTGCACCTGAATATAAGCCGCAGGTTGTTATGTTGTAATGTACCAGAGAGACGACTGTTTTAACTGGACACATGATTTGGTGACCAGGTGTTTTACCAGTTTCACCGTTAGCTTCCATTACTCATTCCCCTTCATCTGTTTTGATAATAAACCAGTGTCCTGTAGCCTCACATTAGCTGCGTCGCTATATAAGCCTCAGGGTCAAATAACTAGAAAAGTAGCGGCTTATAGTCCAGAAATTATGGTACTTAAATTCTTCACTTACAACCAACCTGTTGCTACAAGAGGGAGACCAGAGAGAGAGAGAGAGGGAGACCATAGAGAGAGAGAGAGGGAGACCAGAGAGAGAGAGACCAAAGAGAGAGAAGAGAGAGGGAGACCAGAGAGAGAGAGGGAGACCATAGAGAGGGAGAGACCATAGAGAGAGGGAGAGACCATAGAGAGAGGGAGAGACCATAGAGAGAGACCATAGAGAGGGAGAGACCATAGAGAGGGAGACCATAGAGAGGGAGAGACCATAGAGAGGGAGAGGGAGACCATAGAGAGAGGGAGAGACCAGAGAGAGGGGGCAATGTTTGGACACCCCTGGTCAAGATACAATTTTTTTTTTTTTGAAGAATGGGACTTCAAAAAAAAAAACTGGGAGACCATAGAGAGGGAGAGACCATAGAGAGAGACCATAGAGAGAGAGACCATAGAGAGAGAGGGTGACCATAGAGAGAGGGAGAGACCAGGGAGAGGGAGACCATAGAGAGGGAGAGACCATAGAGAGAGAGGGAGAGACCATAGAGAGAGAGGGAGACCATAGAGAGAGGGAGACCATAGAGAGAGAGGGAGACCAGAGAGAGAGACCATAGAGAGAGAGACCATAGAGAGAGAGGGTGACCATAGAGAGAGGGAGAGACCATAGAGAGAGAGGGAGAGACCATAGAGAGAGAGGGAGAGACCATAGAGAGAGACCATAGAGAGGGAGAGACCATAGAGAGGGAGAGGGAGACCAGAGAGGGAGAGGGAGACCATAGATAGAGAGGGAGACCATAGAGAGAGGGGGAGACCAGAGAGAGGGGGAAATGTTTGGACACCCCTGGTCAAGATACAATTTTTATTTTTTTTTATTTTTTTTGAAGAATGGGACTGTTGTTTGAGGGAAACTGCTCTTTTTTGGTAAAATCTAGTGATTTTCTTTGTCCCTTTGTCGTCCAGGACCGTGACCCTCCCTCACGCTGTCTGTGGCTGCGTCAGAATATTATGTTTTTCTTCTTGTTTACAGAAGTCATCATCGTTCAGTTATTATTTTTTTTGCTTGATACAAAGTCTGCTGTTTTTAAGACAGACGCAGACGACTTCTAGAGGTTTAAGTTATTATGTGTGTTATTAAAATGACTTTCAGCAAAGAGTTTTCCTTCGTTATTAGTTTGTCAAAGTGGTTTAGATTTTAACTTTTCTCCTCCGTCCTCCTCCTTCTGTAGTGACGCTGTTAGAATGTCTTCAAAATCTTCTTCAGACTAGCCCCAGACTAGAGAGAGACCAGAGAGAGACCAGAGAGAGACCAGAGAGAGACCAGAGAGAGACCAGAGAGAGACCAGAGAGAGACCAGAGAGAGACCAGAGAGAGACCAGAGAGAGACCAGAGAGAGACCAGAGAGAGACCAGAGAGAGACCAGAGAGAGACCAGAGAGAGACCAGAGAAGGGGAGAGAGACCAGAGAGAGACCGACCAGAGAGAGGGAGACCAGAGAGAGACCAGAGAAGGGGAGAGAGACCAGAGAGAGACCAGAGAGCGACCGACCAGAGAGAGACCAGAGAGCGACCAGAGAGCGACCAGAGAGAGACCAGAGAGAGAGACGGACCAGAGAGAGGGAGACCAGAGAGAGACCAGAGAGAGACCAGACAGCGACCAGAGACCGACCAGAGAGAGACGGACCAGTGAGAGAGACGGACCAGTGAGAGGGAGAGACCAGAGAGGGACCAGAGAGAGACCAGTGAGAGGGAGAGAGAGAGACCAGAGAGAGAGAGAGACCAAAAAGGGGGAGAGAGACCAGAGAGAGAGATAGTGTGATGTGGACACAAACACAGAGGTTGTTGGACATAAAGGTCTGTTATGGATTCAGTAGAAACTCGGGGCTTCATGTGTATCATTTCCAAACGGACACTTCCTGGTCTTAACTGTAACAACTGCAGTGATTCTGGGACAGAGGAGGAGGATCTAACTCGTGATGAGTCCATAGTAAATAGGCCACATTGTAGTGACTTTCTAGGCCACGGCGCTTTGATAAACCGCCACGTTGCCAAATCTGTTTATAGCGACTCGGGACATCCCTTTTTTGGCAGAGATTCTGACATTCGGGACAAATGGGAAAGAAGACAAGCTAACGTTAGCCTGTCATTCACAAGAACCGAGAGAGACTCCAGAAGACCAGAGAGAGACCAGAGAGAAAGAGAGACCAGAGAGAGAGACTCCAGAGAGAAAGATAGGCCATAAAAAGAGAACAGAGAGAGAGAAAGAGAAAGAGACTAGAGAGACTCCAGAGAGAAAGATAGGCCAGAGAGAGACTCCAGAGAGAAAGAGAGGCCAGAGAGAGAGAGAGACCAGAAAGAGTGACCAGAGAGGAAGACCAGAGAGAGACAATGACACGTTATAGTAATTCATTAAAAAGTACCTCCCATATTGAAAAAGGTCAGGTTTCTCTCTCCTTTTCTTCACTGAATATTGTCTTTATCAAAAACACAGACTGTGTGAGTGACACAGTTCAACACGCGGCCAGCAGGGGGCGTGCGCGAGTCTGGCGCGAGAGAGGATCACGCGGGGGGGAGGGGGGAGGAGAGGGGGGAGGCACACATGAAAGGAGCCGACAGCCAGAGCTCGTGAGCGCCATGGACCGACACGAGCACCGGGAGAAGACGAGCGAGCACCGGGACAGACGCGCGTGACACCAGGACCAGGGCCGAACCAGGACGGATCAGGGCCAAACCAGGACAGACCAGGACAAAGCGGGCCAGACTCCACATTGTGTTTTCCGTTGATAGCGCTATGGGGTAAGTTGGACTGATACAGAGTCCACCATGTTCTAC